GGGATGCATGGCATCATGCCTTAAAGCAAATTGCTGTTACTTCCCGTACCGTAATTAAAAATCTTGATACGAAACCCAAAAAATTTACACAAAATGTGTACACATTATTAAAATCTCCATAAAATATCGAATAATTTGATGACATATATGTCCAATAAACATTTTTGACCGCCAAATGACTTTTTTTAACTTATTTTTGGCACATTTTGCCCCGTATCTTCGGAGCTGCTAGATCTGCTTCCGCCAAAAACTAGTCAGCTCGTTTTATTATCAATACGAATCGAATGGTTTTTAAATTATTTAAATCGGGTATTCCATACTGTCGAAAATATCGAGGACATTTGTTTGAAATGTATGGGTGAATTTTAAAATTAAAAATCTTGGTATGGAATCCAAAAAAATTACACAAAATGTGTACACAATATTAAAATCTCTATAAAATATCTGATAATTTGATGGACATATGTCTAATAAACATTTTTGACCGGCAAATGACATTTTTTACTTATTTTTATTGAGAGTCTATAACCGCCGGATCTGCCTCCCCAAAAATTTAATCAGTTTTTCATCTAGTCAATACAAGTAAAATGTTTTTTGAATTATTAAAATCGGACGCTCCGTTCTCTTAAAAACGGAGTTACCGTTTTTGGCACTTTTTGTCCCGTATCTTCGGAACGGCTAGACCTGCCTTCGCCAAAAACTAATCAGCACGTCTCCTTATCAATACCAAAAGAATGATGACGCCGGTACGCATACAACGACATATCTCTATTCACATACGCGACAACTAATCACAATCGACATATATATAAATGATATCATCGAGAGCGAATGACAAATCTTCAGCACTCGACTCTTATCTGCCGTAACGCGCTTCCGTTGCATTTGTACGGATTTACACCCTAGTCGCGCCTAAAGAATTTTTACTTCAATATATATTAAATATATTTATTTGTAGACGAATGTTATTGTATACTAATTATAATTATATATTATTGTATATAATTATAATTATACATTACTATAATTATAATAATATACGTAATTTGAATATTATAAAAAAGCATATAGAAGATTGAATTATAAATGCAGTAGAACCCCGATAAGACGATTACGCTCAAAACAATATTCTTGTTCACAAAGGCACATATTGATGTATTTATTCCGCATAATATACGTGCTCGCTTAAAACGCGCCTTTTGCACGGTCCCTGGAAAATTGTCTTAACGGGGTTTTACTACTTAAAGGGCATTCATTAATCACGTGATTGACTTTTTAAGGATTTTTAGACCCCCCCTCTTTAGAGATACATGGTGATATTTAAAATTAACCTCCCTTTCCCCCCCTCAAACATCATGTGTATTTTTAGTTACAAAAAAATTGTTTTATTGAAAATTGTAAACTTTTTGGATTTTAAAAAAATTTAGGTAATAAATAAATGCACGTGATCTCTTATTAGTATATCTCTCTCCCACACACGTGCTATTTTGTGATTTTTTCCCTTAAAATTCTCACGTGATTAATAGACGCCCCTCACTTGAGTAAGTGTGAAAATAGTTTGCAAATAAAAGTAGTAAGTTAAAGTAATGTAAATCATGAGAAATTAGTCGACTTACCAAGATTTTATGGGTTGTCCTGATACTGGATGCTAACTTTATGCAAACCACACTACGATTGCAGTGATTGCACTTCTAAAATACATTGCGCAACCACATGGAAAAACACTAAAAATTTTCGACACGACACTCTAAAACTGTTGGCGACGAAAGACTTAATATTTATGAAATTATTAACACTTTTACAATACACTTCACAAAAATTTAGTCACTTTTAGATGACAATATCTGAGCATTTTGCAAATATAAATAAACTATGAATTTATCAAATCTGAATGGTAGTCACAGGTTGCAGGTAACAGGTGGAATGCCGAGTGCAAACTACTCCTTTAAGAATGTATCAGCATGAACCAGCGACGCCATCTACTCCGATCGGATGTTTGCTGAACAAACTTTGTAAACAAATAAAAATAACACAATTTAATAATCCATTATGACAATTTTGAAATAAAGCTAATAATCAATTAAATAATAATAATAATAATAATAAATTAATTGGTTGGTCCATAGGCCAACATTTTTTGAGTCTTCTGTTAGCTGGTAAATTGAGAACTGGCCTTGGTAACTTACTTGAATGGTACTTGATTTGTGATATTTAAGAACTGATGCTTCTATATTTAATATCATCTACTTAGGATATTTCCAAGTTATTATGGATTGGAAAATTGAAGACGTACCTAGATGTGTCTGTAATATTCCTTAAAATCTTTGATTATATTTTCTGCATCTTAACAAAATTAGACTTACTTGCGCACAGATCAAGGCCATAAGTCCACATAGTCCTTAGAACGAATTTATATCTTTTTACCAGTCTAATTCTTGTGTACTTCAAACATGTATCAGTTTTTTTACATAATTTTAGCGAATTTATTTCGTACTATTACTAATATTCGTAGCAACTTCTGACGCCAACCATTCCGGAGTATAATTTCATATCGCTCATTTGCTATAAATAATAAAAAATATTAAAACCAATAAAATTTAATTCACATTATTGTAACATAAATAAAGAAAAAAAATATATTTTGTATAACAGAACCCCGAGAGAGATCCAGATGGTCGACAGTCAATAAGTTAATATTTTGTACTTATGTAATCTTTTTGTTCGATATGACTAATAAACTAGTGGTGTATGGCATCGCGTCTTAAGGCAAATTGCTAGTACTTCCCGTACCGTGAAAAAATGTTCGAGGAATATTAAATGTTTTCAAATAGATTATTATAAATATTGTAAAACATTGTCTAATATTTATAAGAATTATATCAACTGAATTGCAAAGTTGAAATTATTTGTTTAAAGTATATCAGAACGTTAGTCAGAATTAAAATTAAAATCTGAATTATTTTCGATATACAAAAAAAAATTATGAAAAAAAAAATTAAACAAAATTATTCTTCCTAAAGCAATTATTTTGTTAAAACAATCGCAAAGTTCTTTGAATCATTCAAATCGGATGCTTAGTTCTTTCAAACTCTGCCATTTTTTGCACATTTAGCTCTGTATCTTCGAATTGGCTAGACCTGCATTTGCCTAAAACTAATCACCTTTTCTCCCCGTCATTACGAGTTGAATGTTTTTTAAATTATTCAAATCGGATGCTCCGTTCTCTCAAAAACTCGATTTCTATTTTCGGCACCCTTTGCTCTGTATCTCCGTAACGGCTGGAACTGCCTTTGCCAAAAACTAATCAGCACATCTCCCTATCAACAGGAATCGAATGTTTTTTGAACCATTCAAATCGGTTGATCCGTCCGTCCGCCCGAAAACGTGGACGAAAAAATGCGGACATACAAAACACATCCATTTTTTCTGAAGTATGCCAAAATGTTCAGAAACCTCTAAAACGTGAAGACATGCAAAAATTTTCATTTTCGATTTTCGGCCCATTACTATATCTACTCTTTGGGAAATTAACAGATATAAATATAGAGATGTAGCATTTTTTTTCTTGTATGATTTATCGATTAAATTTTTATGATTTACTGCATTACTTTGCATTGTGATTGCAAAAATAAAAAAAAATCTGCCGTCATAGAATTCGTTGAAGAGTTTTTGCACAAAAGTGCAAAATATTTCGACCATGACCAGCCAATATTCCTGAATCTATTTAAAAAATTCAAAAACTATTCAAAAGTGGAAAACGTGATGATGAGTTTTTGATAAAGATCGGCCAGATCATTTCATCATTAAATATTTGAAAGATTTTCTGGTGAAACTATTCTTGATAATAAACATCTTAAGACATTTTTAAATTTTACGAGCTTACGAAAAGTGGTTTAATTATAAAAAAAAATCATTAATGTTTGGAATGAGCGACGTCAAAATTCCAAAATTATATCGTCGCAATTTTAAATTGTGACGATTTTCACACATATCAGGAAGATCATGCAAATTTCCATATGGCAAAATGCCACTTACGCCTAGTTAAAATTTATTTTTAAGTTCATAGTTTATAATATATACTGTTTTAGGGCAGTTATTATACAGTCACTCAAAAAACCAAGAATTTAGATAACTAGATAATATCACGACAAATTAAAGATATCTGAAATAATACAATAAAAACAAGACATATTAAACAAGGCTAGGTTATTATATCTCCGCACAAATTTAAAGCGAATTTAGCAGTTAATCTTAACTTTAATTCAAGGAACCAATTTAAAACATAATAATACAGTTAACTGGCCTTTATCTTCTAATACTCAAATTATTACAAATTCATTACAAGTCTAAGTTTGAACCAAGTCACAAGATCAGTAATTATTATATACAAGTAAAAATTTCTAATTTATCAGAACATCCAAGAAAAAGCAGTATGTTTAATTTATTTACAAAAAGTTAGCATTAAATAAAAATTATTCTTAAATGTGTTTATTAGATCCAATTTAAAATCATTGTGATTGTCAGCAAATTCAAAAATGTGCAAGTGCTTGTTTTTCAATAAAAGCTATAAAACAATGATGATTAATTAAGAAAATGCATTTTGTTATAAATAAGTTATTATTAACAATGTTTCACATTCATAGTTTGACAAATTCTAGTTTGCTGCGAATATTTAAAATAAACATGTATTAGATTGTGGAATTTCATAAATGTTCACATTTTGCTGAGTTTATCTCCAAGTCAAAAATATCATCAACATAAGAATGTAAAAATGAAATATTCATCATAAAGAATATAATTGAAGTCAATCAATTTGAACACAATTCACATCTTTCATTTGTCTTACATATATTATTAATTCATAATGAAATTTTTGTTCCATTTACAGCATTTTTCATAATCATTAAAATAAAATCAATTTGTACCTATTATTATAATCACTAATGTATACAAAAAATAAAAAATAAACTTCTTAGAAAACTATGAACATTTGTGTCCGGGTAAAACATTTATATATCATAATATTAAAATAAATACAACGCATATGTGAAAAAGTTGTAAAACGATAAAATCATCACAGTTAATTATCAATCTATCAAAGATGTTGATAAAAACAGAAAGTGTTTTGGACAAATCAAATATTAACTGAACATTATTTTATTATTATTATTTTTTTAGACAACTTCCAATAAAAAAACATTCACATATTACACTTCCACCATCGATTTTACATCTCTAAACGCTGTCCAAATTAAAAGGAACACCAGAAACAAACACATCACTTTTTGTTTTAGATCTAACTATATTAAAAAGTGGGAAATGATGCACACCATTATCTCCGTTTGGGTTTTAAGTTTAGCTAATAATTGATGATAGTCCATAAGAACAATAAAATTATTTATGTTTTGTATATATTTTTTTGTCAATTTTATTTATTTTTTTTCATTTATTTATCCTAATATTTTTACTTTTATTTATATAACCTTAATAGAAAAATTAAAACATCTGTGCACAATCACTACAAGTCTTCAGACATTTTGGAGAAAGAGTTCTGCGACTTTAGGTCCTCGAGTCTTTGAATTTGTTGCCTCAAATACATCAATCTGAAAATAATAATTGCATGCATTAATTATTAGCTTGCAAAGTAATCCATATTAGGCATTTGATATAAACTATCAAAAAATATGGTATTTATTCGAGACTTAAATAATAGACTACAAATGTAAATATATTTTTGCTGGAGGCCCTTTGAATGGAAGATTATTTTTTTATATACAGCTTCCTTTATACTCAGCACCAGTTTTATTTACTTCCCGCAGAACATTTTATGTTACAAGTCATTCTGAATCTAATGTAACACTTTTGATTATATGTACAATATTTCACTTCAAACCGAAATGTGCAACACAAATTAAATAAGGTGAATAGATAATATAAAAAATTAAAAAATACCTTTGATCTTGTAAAGTGGCTTGAATTTCTGTAAGTCTAACTATACTTCTAGCTATTTTAAGATCAGCAGATACCCTTGTGCATTGGATATTACCCATAGTCAGCGACTCTTCTGTGAATTTATTAGCCTGAAAAAAAAGTTTAATTGAAGAATTTACAATGATATTAGAAAATTAAAACTAAAAATTCATTAAAAAAAACTTGTAGACATTATAAAAATAAAGATTATTAAACATTATAAACATATGTTTTAGTAATCAGAATTATGGTATTGTTTGATTATTAATAACTTGGTTATTAAAAAATCAATTTTTTTATGTTACGTTTTTTTCATTACATTCTTAGTTCTTTTATTCTGTGACCTATTAAAGAAAATAATGACCAAAATTGTTAATATGTATAAGTTAAGTATAACATTATATTCAGATATTAATAGTTGTCCTTAATGGATAATCTACTAAGAGCATAATATCAAACGTAAGCAAAAACAAATACAGTGATAAATAGAGAAAAATAATATAAAAATAACTAAATGATATCAGTCCGTAATTTGCACTTTGGTCTGGTGGGCTTATTGGCTAATCGATTTTGCTATTGTATTTGAAGCAAGATTTAAACTACATATAAGCCGCTCAAGTGCACACATTGACTAACTCCACTTTTTGAAAAAACTGAGATTTTAGTGCAAAAGTACTTGGTATAATCATACCTTTGTGATATGATAACTTTCCAGAATAATAAAATCTAGCACTGTGAAACTAATTTTTTTTTGACCACTGAATAGTCATTTATTTGGCCGGATTTCGAATTCTGAATTACGGATAAGAATTTAATAAAAATAAAAACCATATGATTGAAGTACGGAAATAAGAGCTAAGTCAATTGAAATAAAATTTCTAGTCAGTGGATATCACCTATTGACTCAAGATTTGTTTGAATGTTTGAATACACAATATACATTAGTCTTTACTATATTCTAAAGCTAGAACTTTGACAAAGAAAAAAATGAAAGACATGAAGCACTTGTTAAAATTCATTCCAACCGTTAACGATTGTAATCAACAAACCATCTCATGGAGAATGGAGAAAATATTATATACAAAATTACTGATCAATCACAAATAATAAATTATGAGAGTTAACATTTTTTTTTAAAAGCTTTAACATAAATATATAAGATTTAGGTTTATTACTTTTTTCAGTTGATACTTGATTACCTCCACAAGTCATATCAAAACTTTAACTTTAATGATAATAATTTTCTCACTATTAATAGTTATTAACTATTTATTATTTATTTAATTTATTTATTTATTTAACTGGTTTCGGGTACTTTCTTATGTCCTTTCTTATTAACGCTTAAACTTGTACTGAAAGTAATACCTAATACTTTTGGGTAAATGCGTTTTATTGCCCTGTATGAAGCGAACAGCTTTGTGCTTGTGCGTTGTTGCATTTTTTGAACATTGGAGCAGCAATTCGCTCCATTACGTTTGGCCAAGCCATCGTACGCGGGCTCTGCTCGTCATTTTAAGTTAACGGGTTAATCTCATATACCGTTACATGTAAGCTATAAATGTATTTATACATTCTACATCATATTTTTCAATATATATTATAACAGGAATTTATCAATGCATTATACATTACTTCATCACTTTTCTCCACTTTCTGATTTTTGGAGTTCGTCATTGTGTGCACTGAATGGCTCGCATATGTAATTAATCGTAGTTTTTGAAAAATAGAAAGCAAATCTACATGTACAGTTTCCCTCTAGAGCAAGAAATGATAATGAAATAATATATTATTCTATTCATGCAACTACCATTAAAAATCAATTATAAAACCAAACTCAAAACTATATTGCAACAATATTATTACCATATGTAAAAGATTTTTTTAAATACAACAAACTTATTGACTTGGAAGCATGAAAATGAGTAATTTCATCATCATCGACACTTGATGAAAATTGATAGTAAAATTTGTCTACAGAATAAATTGTACCAAATGTGATGGCATATATATATATATATATATATGCTATAGAGGCTATGTTATCGCCACACATCCCGAGGCAAAAGTAATGTTTGGAATTAAAGATTATTTTATAAATCTTTGCCTTTTCTTTGTTTGATGTATCGCCCTCAAGAACTCACTCATATATTTCAACATCAAAATTAACTACTAAATCATATATATTTATATATATGATTTAGTAGTTAATTATAATTATTCATATATATTAATTATAATTATTCATATATATTATATACATAGTCGGAATTTACACCAACAATTATTACAAAGTAAAACTCAAAAAACAAGAAGGAAAATAAAATGCTGATTGAACATAATGACATGACCATCAAAATGAAATAGATTTGTTTTAACACGTTCGCGGACAGTGAGAGTAACAAAGTAGGAAAGGTACAAAAATTTTTTTTGAACACCATTCATAAGGGTAGTTAGATTAATATAAACAATTATAAGTTGATAACTAAGAGTAGTCAAAATATATAAAACAATTAAAATAATATAGGAAAAAAATACAGATTATATAAAAATGTTACATATTGAAATATATTTCGTAATAATTAGGAATGGAATAAAAGCTCTCATTCTTATCTATAGCTTATTGAAATTGAAATAACTTTATTTCTTACCTGTTTTTCTAATACGTCAGCAGGCCAGCCTTGAACATGCCCTAATAAATCTTGCCGACAGTGATTGGCTAAACCGGGAGTCAGATTTGGTCCTTGAGGTCGTAGAGCAGCTAATGCACTACCCATTCCGACCGCAGAACTTTGTGATAATCCCTGCAGAGAACTTAAATTGGGAACGCTATTTACGCTGGGGATTTCTGCTGTAAAATGAGAGTAAGAACTTATAATTTGTTACTAATCTTTAAACAGCAGGGAATTCGCTTATATAAATTTATTAAAAATAATTTTTCTCAAAAAAATTAGAAATAATTCAGAAGTATTTTATACACTTTGAGCCACAAAAATTTTGATTGTGTGGCTGAAAATTAGGTAATACATAAAAAATCACTATTGATGATAATATAATGATGTTACTAAAGGGTGGTATCATCAAACAAGAAAAAGAAAAAACTGTATGAATAAACTACAGTTAATTTTAACATTAAATGTTGTTAATAGTTTTCTGTAAAATTTATTATAAACTTACTTTTTATTCTATCTAATGCATCTGGATTTTCTGAATGCGTCGGCGTAGGGGGACCATCTCCAATCACTCCAACATTTGTGTCAATTTTCAAACTTGTACATGCAGACTGCGATAAATTATTCTGCATGCCCTGCAGCATTTTTTGTGAGTTCATCTCGGGCTGATCAGTACTCTTGCTAGAAGCTGAAAAATGATGGAACAGTGATGTAGAATGAGCTCAAGCTTAAAAAATCTTAATTTCAAAAATGTATTATATATCTTATATACAATTCTTCTATAATGATGTATGTAAATATACTCCTCCTAAACGATTATTCGGATTTTGATAAATCGTTCTGAAGTTTGTTAAGCGATTTTTTTAGGCTGTACATGTCATCTGCCAATAATTTAAATCAACTTATGAGCCTAGACAATATTAGAATATGTATAATAAATTCATGATTATAAATAATAAAAATGGAATGAAATGGAGAATGAAATGAAATATCTACATTATTATTGCCAAAAAGCAGCTGAGATGTGACAGAAATTAAAATAATATAAGATACAGTATATGTATAGCAGAGTGAATGATACACATATGAACGGATTTGACAAATTAATTCACTTAAAATATGAAATTAAGTAATAATCAGGGCCGGTCCTACTTTGAATGCGACGCATGCGAAAAATATGAGCGCACGCTTTAAGGGGCGCCAATATCCCGATTTTTTTTTTTTTTAAATATAATTCAAAAAATATATAATTTTCTTACAACTTTCTCTAATATTTGCACAATATTAGAGATTATAATAATTTCACTTTAAAACAACAAATGGGAAAGTGAAGAAGAATACATACAACTCGACCATTACAATATCAATTAGCAGAAGTTTAAGATGCAATTTTGGATATCTTAAAAAATAAAAAATTATATTAAAATAATCCAACATGAAGTTCATAACAGTGTTATGTTATGGTTATGTTTAATAATAAAAAGCTAGCACTTATTTGCTCTCTATGATTTGGTCGATAAAATAAATCGCATAAAATGCCCACAATAAATAAGAAAATGTTTCAAAAACCAAATATTAATTGAAATAATTTTAATAATAAACTGTTAAAACAGGTAAAATAAAGGGAAGGCGCTAGAAAAAAAAATGGCATGCGGGTGCTGAGGACCCCATGAGCAAGCCTGGTAATAATTAAATACATTATTACTAAGAAAAATGTACTTTAGATATTGTAATTACTAAAGACCAGTTAAAATTTATTATTATTATTATTGAAATTTTATGGGCAACATTATTTAAGCAATTTTTTAGGTGAAAAAAATCCAAGGTAATATTGAACTTTTACTGTGGATACTATTTATTAACTTTTTCTAAATTTGTTATGCCGTTTAAAAAACTTCAATTTCCAATTTAGTATAGGAATTGAGACTCCCATAATTGATGTATATGCATTTTGTTGTAAAGACTAATAATTTAAAAACTGGAAATATTATTTTAAGGTAAACGGTGAATGTTAGTAAAGGATATTAAAAAATTGTAGACCTGGGTACAAGACAACATCTGTCCGGTCATCTTGTAATTTTATAATTATGATATTATTTGGAAGCAGTAGTAAAACTCTAAAAACCATATTTAAAAAAATTATTTTTTACAGAATGTCATTAAACAGCATGTAATATATTTGTAGAAAATAATAAAAACCCACACCAATTATTATTACTTGGGTGTAGCATATAAAAGTATGGTTAAAAAAATATTACTAATTCAGAAAATAATGAAAGAAAATGTACCATTAATTTGTGGTGGCAATTTATTCGGTGGCCCTGGCACGCTATTCATTTGATTGCTTGCATTAGATCCAGCCATCATGGTGGGTCCCATACTGCTTGAATTTGGTGATTGTGAGGTTTTACTAAATGATCTTTGCACCGTGCTCGTTGTACAAGGCGTCGCGGGATGTGAAGATAATCTCGGTAGTACTGTAGTTATCATATTACCTGGCTGGCTTGTTCCTGCAAAATAATATATAAGATTGTGTTAGAAAATTGTATATAGTATTTAGCAAAAAAAAAAGTAATTCTGTCCTCTTAAAAAAATGCATGTTATTTAGCATGAAAACTAGTTATTTAATAAAGTACACCAAGTAGGTGAATAAAAAAAGTCACCATCATTTGCTGGATTTCCACAATGCCTGTTTGAAGGAGTCCCTAAATGGCCATAGGAAGCTTCAGATGTAGGCGTGCTGTCACCTGGTGAAATGTCCATATCTTGTGTATTATCGCCTTGAAATAATTTTCCAAAATTATATTTATGAACAAATAAATTACTTGTAATGATTAAGAAAATATATACGAGGTGTGTTCAAAAAGTACCCGGAATTACTAATAATTAAATTTCGCGGGTCTGGAGTGTCTGATTGTCAAAATTTTTTTTTATTGTGTTGGTATACATGCCCCTAAAGTATGATGAAATTTTCAGCTATATTCACTGTTTACTTTGTCTGTGGTAGTCGCTAAGGTTCGACGTGTTTTTCTGAGCTCGGCGATTTTTACAATGGAAGAATTGAAAAGTCAAAGAATTTGTATTAAATTTTGCGTAAAAAATGAAATAAAGTGTTGCAAAGTGCAAAAATTCACCAGATATGGCTCCGTGTGACTTTTTCCTATTCCCAAAGTTGAAGAGACCCATGAAAGGACGGCGGTTTTCCTCGATTGAAGAAATAAAGGCCGAATCGCTGAGAGTGCTCAAGGACATATCAAAAAGTGAATATCAAGGGTGCTTCGAAAATTGGAAAAAACGCTGGCATAAGTGTATTATATCTGGGGGGGACTACTTTGAAGGGGACCACATTAATGTAGACGAATAAATAAATATTTTTTTGAAAAAACGAAAATTCCGGGTACTTTTTGAACAGACCTCGTATATATATATATATATATATATATATATATATATATATTTAATTTCAATAATTATTACAACTGTTAAATTATTAACATCTAGTAATATTGATAAATAATAACATAAATTTAAATAAATAAAAGTGCAAAGGATAAAATTTACATAAAAATAATATCCGTAATATGATTTGATATAGAATATAAGCAAATAATAATAAAAATAAAATTAATAAATAATATAAATAAAATTTCTGAATAATAAAATAATACTAGAAAAATAATAAAATATAACAAAATAACAATAATAGAAAAAGTAAGAAAATATAATTACAAATGTAATCACCTAGCTATTATAAATTAAGGTGGTATTCTAGGCATGAATTTTAAGTCATTTTTAAATCATGAAAAACAAACAGGCAATCAATTTTTATACTATGATCCTTATTACAATTTTTTTTATTAACGTTTATTAACGTTTTATAACGTATTATCAAAAAAAATTAAAACAAAAGAGTTAATAATTTGAAAACTAGCAGTGGTTGATGTGGAAATTTTCAAAAGGTTGACTCGTGACAATGCCCACGATTGCAACCTTCCTAGTTGAACAAATATTAAAAAATAGTCAATCTGTCAAAATTCAAGGGGATGAGTATACGTCTGAGAGAAGTCTATGAGACAGATTCTCTGAAAATTTCAAATAAATTGGTCCAGTAAAACTACGAAATCGTGGGCACCGTATTGAAAAAGACAATTTTGAGAAAAACACATTTAAAGTTTTGCAAAAGGAAGGAAACAGAAGAGATCAATCACGGTCATGGTCAAACAGCTGAATCTCTGTGAAATTAATCTAATTTCTTTAAAATCCTCTCATACACATATTCTTAAATATGTTAACCATTGAAAATATAACAAATAAGATCAACTATTTTTCAGAATTTCTACTCTGGAGTATCTCCTTAAGTTACAGAGATTATTTTAGAATATCATTTTCCACCTACAATTTATAATTGTCCAAAAATTCCAGCATTAGTAATCCACTTAGAAATACGTATTGTAAAATTACCTTCAGTTTTTCTTCGAGAATCTGGTACATCTGTAGAGCACCAACTGCCTCGGGACCTGCTAACCAGGCCTGCTTCGCCGCGACTAATACATTCACGTAAACGCGCGCTGGAATGTTTGTCATGAGCTGAAAAAAATTAAACAAGAACACATTAAGATGAAACTTCAATTGAAAAGTAAAGATAAAAGGAAGTAATTGTAATAAACTTATTAAGTGTATTACACCCACCGTTCCGGATACTGCCTGCATTGCTGTACCTTGCCTCACGATCATCTCGATGGTCCTTGCTGGTGCTGTTAGTTCTTTGACTACCTCCTGGTACACCTCCTCCTAAGCTTGGACCTCTATCTCTATCTCTCTCCCTTTCCCTATCCCTTTCTCTGTCCCTTTCCCTATCGCGCTCATTCCTTTCTGACCTATCTCTGTCTCTATCTCTATCCCTTTCCCTCTCTCGCTCCCGCTCTCGGTCCCTTTCTCTTTCTCGCTCCCGCTCTCTTTCCCTTTCGCGTTCTCTTTCTCTATCGCGATCCCGTTCTCTTTCCCGCTCTCGCTCTCTATCGCGATCTCGCTCACAAGGGCGCTCTATCCATTCGCGCGGCTTCTCCCATTGGGATACTTCTGTTTTACAATTATAGTAATACTTTTTACCTGTAACAGAACAATGATCATGAAATCATAAATGTCCTAACTTTTAATGCTTTCTTATGAAGAAAAAATGTATATAATTGAAACATAAATTCTATATATCATAGTCATAATACTAGTGCTGCCTATGAAGGCTTAAAATTTTAATTCAGTGTAATTTCCATTACAGATATCATTAGGGACCATGTATGAAATTAGAGTAAAAAAAAAATGTTGAGAAAAAAAGATGACAAAAGGCTCCATAAAAAGGATGACTGGCCTTAGTATTTTTCATAAAAACTTTGAAATAAAATATAAATTGTGCACCCATAACCTCACTTTACGACGGTGTTCAATTTTGAATTTTCAGTTTTCGCGCCATATCTCAATTTATACTAATTTTCACTTGGTCATTAGATTGTCAATGTTGCATTGTATTAGCTTCAAACATTTTTGTTTTTTAATTTTCTGATATTGGAAGAGACTGACAAATAATTGTTAACCTGGTACAACTAAGATTTTTTCCATAATAAACAAGATTTCAACTGGAATTACAATCTTCTAATGAAGCAGGTGTCAAATAAAATCTCTGCAAGCAAATGTTCAAAGTGATGTGTTTGTAAAAATACCTGTCCAGCAAATAATGGACAAATTTTAGTAAAATAGCAGTAAATTATGACAAAAAAACAATCCAGACAATGGAAAGGCTTTTAAAGCATCCCAGGCAGTAGCAACAAATATCAATTGCTAGAAGGGCATTTATTTTACATGGTAAAAAAGCTGCCCTGCCAATAATGGATCAGTTTTAGTAAAATAGTAGCCAATTATGACAAAAAAATGATCCTGGCAATGGAAGGGCTTTTAAAGCATCCCAGACAGTAGCAACAAATATCAATTGCTAGAAGGGCATTTATTTTACATGGTAAAAAAGCTGCCCTGCCAATAATGGATCAATTTTAGTAAAATAGTAGCCAATTATGACAAAAAAAATGATCCTGGCAATGGAAAGGCTTTTAAAGCATCCCAGATAGTAGCAACAAATATCAATTGCTAGAAGGGCATTTATTTTACATGGTAAAAAAGCTGCCCAGCAAATAATGGATCAATTTTAGTAAAATAGTAGCCAATTATGATAAAAAAATGATCCTGGCAATGGAAGGGCTTTTAAAGCATCCCAGACAGTAGCAACAAATATCAATTGCTAGAAGTACATTTAATTTACTCGGTAAAAAAGATGACTAGAAAATAATGGATCAATTTCAGTAAAATAGTAGCCAATTATGACAAAAAAATGATCCTGGCAATGGAAGGGCTTTTAAAGCATCGCTGACAGTAGCAACAAATATCAATAGCTAGAAGGACATTTAATTTACTCAGTAAAAAAGGTGACTAGCAAATAATGAATCAATTTTAGTAAAATAGCAGTAAATTATGACAAAAAAATGATCCAGACAATGGAAAGGCTTTTAAAGCATCCCAGATAGTAGCAACAAATATCAATTGCTAGAAGGGCATTTATTTTACATGGTAATAAGCTGCCCTGCCAATAATGGATCAGTTTTAGTAAAATAGTAGCCAATTATGACAAAAAAATGATCCTGGCAATGGAAGGGCTTTTAAAGCATCCCAGACAGTAGCAACAAATATCAATTGCTAGAAGGACATTTATTTTACTCGGTAAAAAAGGTGCCTAGCAAATAATGGATCAATAATTTTAGTAAAATAGTAGCCAATTATGACAAAAAAATGATCCTGGCAATGGAAGGGCTTTTAAAGCATCCCAGATAGTAGCAACAAATATCAATTACTACAAAGACATTTATTTTACTAGGGGAAGAAAAACCTGCCCAGCAAATAATGGATCAATCTTAGTAAAATAGCAAGCAGCCACTTATGATAACTGCCACAGAATTAGTTATATTGTTTTACTGATGATCCATGTGAAAAAATATATATTATTTTTGTATTTTTTTAAAAAGAAGCATTTGAGACTGATCCACAATCTTTTATATGCTTTGTTAAAGAAAGAATTTTAATTCACTTTTAATCTCTTCACAACGCAAAGTGAAGTATGGGCTTACTATTTTATTATTGTTAAACCATTTAAATATTCTTTAAATTTCGTAAACATAATAGAACATAACCATTAAACAAATTTAAAATAAAATGTTGCACATCACCTTGAAAGCTGAATAAAAATATGACAAACTTAGATAGCAAACTAAAAATCTAGCTTTATTTGTACAAAATACACACCAGATGAACTGAGGTGCTCAGACCAGTCGCCAACCCTAATAACTCTCTCTCGGTCATCCAGAGGAGGCTGATTATTTTGTGTTCCGCTCGAATTCCCGCTGCTATTGCGCTGCATACCCTTATCTCCTAAACAACCTGCATTACTGGAACCTTTACCTAGAATTATGAAGTAAGAGTCTTAATAAAACTAAATAATAATCCGGTTGTAATACACAAAACCACATTCAAAGACATCTAAAATTCTTCATTTAATTATTGAACATAGCATACTCTATATGATTAACATTTAATCTGTTATTAACAAGCAAAACTTCTTGGTGCAAAATTTGGAAAAGTTATTTGGTGCTATTATAATATTACAAAAACAATATGAACTAGTTATAAACATACTTAGTTGTATTTATAAATACATAAAGAAGCTTCTATTTGGGCTTTGTTGTTTTAAAGGGTATTTTAACTAAATAAAAAGGTTTTAAGTGCAAGATTTAATTTACTTTTTACATTCAATGGGGCTCCATAATGTAAAGTATATTAATCAACTCTTATTAATATTAATATTTTAATAACACTAAGAATTTCAAACTCTCCTAAGAATCAAAATAAACCTTTAGGTAATTAACAGCTAATTATGATTAGTTATTAAATTAGCTGTTAAAAAGCAAACTGATATTTATGACATAATTTTCAATACTGTACATAGGGTTCAAAAAATATGCTTAGAGTTTCCTCAGTAGAATTATATTTTAAGTAGAAATGTTACCAAATATTTACACTAATTTGATATAAAACAAAGCAGACTAATAAAATTACCAGAATTGCGGCCGGAACATTTAGATATTTTGTCTACTGAGCTCATACAATCCCCTCGATCATGGTTAGTCCTGTGTTCCAAATCCATACAGCGCTCTCGTCTTTTTTCCTTGGGAGAACGTGCACATTCTGTAAATAAATTCAGAGTAAATTATAATAGATGTATGAGATTTATATTAAAAGTTATACATGACTTGTGATAACTTAACATCATTCATAAGGAAATATATAATATACCTCAAACAAAAATTACAAAAGTTAAGACTGCTAATATATCACCAAAAAATTAAAGACAAATTTAACAAAGAGTATTAACAAAGTGCGGGATATTAAATACAAATTTCAAATAGATGAAAGGCTTTGCAACAAAAAATTTTGAATAAAAATCAATGCTACTAACTTTGAACCCAACTAAAAGAAAAATATTTAAAAAAATATATATATAAAAAAAGTTAAAATAAGTCAAATATATTAAATAAATGCAATTAATCTAGTAATTTAATATGAATATAAAACTTGATAATGATATATAGGAATTATATTGATTTAAGAAGATATAAATAATGTTACATTTTGTTTAATTGATTGTTTAAATCAAACTATTGCAAACATCATGACTTCTATGCTAGAAGCCAAGTTAAAATCTTTTTTTCATTAATTACATATATATATATATATATATATATATATATATATATATACACATATAAAGTAAAATGAATTAAATGAGTATCTGTTGTTGTCATTTGACACTATCGATATTGATATTAACAAATATTCGATACAAAACATGATATCAAATACCTTCAAAAATAAGACTCATTAGTTGATACATGAATTATCAAAATAAAAACAATTTCTGAATGACTTGTAATAGTAATCAATAATTGCTTGTGTATAAAATTATTGCTACTTTAAATTGTACTATATTCTTGTGTTTTTTGACCTTATTGTTACGGTGTATTTTGTTAAAACTTGTTATTAGGATGTATTACCAGTTCAGCTATGATTATAATTAATTACACCATTCAAGATCAGCGTACAGAAGCATCTCATTAGCTTGAGCTTTCATTGCTATTTATCACATAATTATTTATATATCGATGGCACAGAATAATGATTCTGTTATTAGCCTTAGATATAGTTCATATTTCGGTTTTTGCTGTTTATTTTTTGTTACAATGTCCAATATTAAAATTTATAGTATGATATTCTTGGTACTTAATAGAATTAAGCTTGTTGCCGTTGATAAATATCAAAGGTTAATGTTAGGTTCAATAAAAATTTTAGATTATTCACAAAAAAATGTAAAATATTCCATCTTAATGCAAAACGTGGATCAAGTCTAATTATGATGACACAAATAAAATGTTTCCAATTGTTGGTGTAATTCATTTTACAAATTGAATGCAGAAACACATTATTTTACATTCAATAATGAATTTATGTTAAACAAAAATAATTGTTAGAAATACTAATTGATAGAAATGTAAACTGTTAACATGAATTTTAGGTATTTTTGGTCATGTGTATTTCAATTTAAAAAGTTTTCATATCTTAATAAAAAAAATAAAATGCCATTTTGCATTATAGGATAAAAATTGCAATGTTATTAAATCACAAAAATCTGCAATCAGAAAGCATTTCAGTGACAGTTATAAGAATTTGAATAAGATATTTGATTTGACAGATGTTATGTTCAAAATGTATATGACATATTATAAAACTGTACTAAATTGTTTATAGCAGACTTTAATAGAAAGACTGCATTAAAAAACAATAATCCAGGGGAAACTGACTTTCTTATTGCTAATTATGTGTATTATTATCTAAATGTTAAAAAATTTGAGGTAAACATTACTTAACCTCTAAATTTTCCCAATATTAAAAGGTAACCCACCACTAGATACGTGGTCCTTAATGTGTTGATATTAGTGACAAATTGATGCCAAAGGTATCAGGTATTTTAATATTATTTTCTTTCATGTTACCTGGATATTTTTCACGTTTGAAGTCTCGATCTCTCTCCTTTTCTCTGATTTTCTGCAAGTATGTAGATTTGTAGCCACGATCTTTGTCTCTCTCACGATCTCTTGGAGAGTCACATTCTGGTGAATCAGATCTGTATGAATTACCATTGGGAGACTCTCGCATGTATCTGTCACTGTATTCACCTCGGCCACTCTTGCCATATTTTGAATTCTGCTAAAACAAGAAATAATATAATAATCATAACGATAATACTTAACTTCATTGTTAGATTTAGCTAAAAGTATATTATTCATAAATGTCTAAATTTATGTGAAAATCAAATTTACAGCTTTTCTGCATGAAACTATAATTTTGACTTTTTGTTTGACATGCTATATCAAATGTGATAAAAGTATTTAAATAAAGTAGCAATTACCAACAACTATATTATCTAAACATATACCGAATACGTAAACACACTATAATTATAAATTTAAAGCAAATAAATCAATGAAAAATGTATCATAATGGAAAATTTAATAAAAAGTATGCATCAAGTCAACTGTGATAAAACAAAAAATATATCAAATTAAAAAAAAATATTGTTGTTTACAAAAATTTAATTTTCATACAACTGATAATTACTTGAATTTATTATTGATTCACAAGTAGTTATGCATAAAAATAAGCAAATAGTAGTCAAAAAATGAATTTTTACAATGAAAATATTATTTGTTATGTGTGAGTGACAGATCAATATTAAAGTGAATGGCTGGCTTTTGCAAAAAAAAATATCACAAAATATTATTGCTGCAAATAATAAACGATCGCAAGAAAAATAAAATGCAAGAAGAAATTATTTACATAATAATACGCAAATGAAAAAAAGTTAATTTGATCATTGGACAAAAATGTAATTGTCAATAGAAAAATGTATGTTCGCCGCTTATATAGATTTTACCTGATAGGGATGGGCCTGATGCTTCTCGAAGTACCTAAAATGAGAAAAAGACATTTTATATTAATGGAAATAATAAACTGACTATCGAATTTATAATTATCGACCTATAATTGTACATATCAAAAGTATGGCGATGTGAGGTTGTGTCAAAACACAACGAATTCGTACCCATCGCTAATGCGCTGCGGTTTCCTTGCATGCATTACCATCAATGCAAGTCTCTGGGATATATATTGGCCTATATAAAAGCCTTTTTGTTAATCAACGTCATAAAATAAACATTAACAAAGCTTAATCAACAGGGAACTTTCTTCACAGACGCCATGTCACATTCAAGTCGGACTGAATCAGTCCAATCGCTCCAAGGCGGTCGAACATACCTATTGGACGGTCGAACGCGACTACGATGAAGTGATGTACGGGTACAATCGATGTGGTCCAATTCTACCAACAGGTCAGCCATTTTCACTGGGCAGAATGATTTTATGCGCGGGGTTTTTCAAAAAGCAAATTCGAATTTATTTGACTTCTTTTATTAAATGTCATATTTAGTTTACATTGCATACGTATTATTCACAATAACTTATTGTGTCTTTTTTTTTTTGAGTATTTAGGTTTTGATAAATAAAAAATATTTTGAAGTTTTGTATACAAAAACAAGCATCTGTCAAAATGACGTTTCGAATGATGCTTTAGGGTGCGTTCGACTTGGACGCTTACGCGCTGTGAGCGCTCACGCTTATAAGCACGAATTTTTAGCGTTCGACTTGGCCGATAAGCGCTCAGAATCGATAACTAAATTCCGTTCGTTTTGGAAACTGTGAGCGTCAATAAGCATCAAAATGGCGGCAACTGGCGGTAACGGTAATTGTGTAAATTTTATTACTTTCTGGATCATTCAGCGGGATTATAAACAATTTAACAATTAATAAATAAATGAAATTTCGTTTGCTTGTGCTTAATACATATTAATATTAAAATTAAAATTTAAAATTATTTAAAATTAATTAAATTTAAAATTAATTAATATTAATATTAATATTAAAAAATAAATGTGATATACAACTTGGCATTTTTGCGGGATTATAAAAAAATTAACAATTAATGAATAAATAAAATTTGGTTAGCTTATGCTTAATTAATAGTAATATTAAAATTAAAATTTAAAATTATTTAATATTAATATTAAAAAATAAATGTGATATACAACTTGGCATTTTTGCGGGATTATGTAGAATTTAACAATTAATAAATAAATGAAATTTGGTCAGCTTATGCTTAATTAATAGTAATATTAAAATTGAAATTTAAAATTATTTAAAATTAATTAAATTTAAAATTAATTAATATCAATATTAATATTAAAAAATAATTGTGATCTACAGCTTGCCATTTTTGCGGAATTATAAAGAATTTGACAATTAATAAACAAATGAAATGACAGATAGTAAAAACAACTGACGCTCACGCTCACGCTGCCCTACCTCTGTGGCGTGAGCGTATGTGAGCGCAAAATATGTGCTACGAGCATCCTACGATGGTGCTACGAGCGTACTTATGTGACACTCACAGCGCCAAGTCGAACGATGAAAGCGCGCTCACGGCGCGCTCACAGCGCGTAAGCGTCCAAGTCGAATGCACCCTTAAAAAGCCAATGAATAATTTATTTTATTACATAGCAATCGTGTGCGAGTATAAATATAATTAGAGAATCTAACTTTTCTTTTATACGAAATATAGTGATAATTGATGTTTTCGAATAAGTGGAATAAACTAGGGGGGTGCATGGCATCGTGCCTTAAGGCAAATTGCTGGAACTTCCCGTACCGTAATAAAAATTTGGTACGGAACCCAAAAAAAATCACACAAAATGTGTACACATGATTAAAATCTCTATAAAATATCTGATAATTTGATGTACATATGTCCAATAAACATTTTTGACAGCCAAATGACATTTTTTTAACTTTTTTTTGTTGAGAGTCCATAACCGCTGGACCTGCCTTCCCAAAAATTTAATCAGTTCTTCATTTTGTCAATACAAGTAAAATGTTTTTTGAATTATCAAAATCAGACGCTCTGTTCTCTTAAAAACTGAGTTACCGTTTTTGGAACTTTTTGCCCTATATCTTTGGAACGGCTAGACCTGCCTTCGCCAAAAACAATCAGCACGTCTCCTTATCGATACAAATCGAATGTTTTTTGAATTATTCAAATCGGTTGATCCGTGTTCCCGAAATCGTCGACGAAAATTTGTATCCGCACAGCACACGCACACTCACACACATCCATTTTTTCCAAGGTATGCCAAAATATTCAGAAAAACGTAAAGATATATAAAAAATTTTATTTTCAATTTTTTTGCGATTACTATAACTTACCCTACAGGAAGTTAATTAATACACTACTAACTTAAAGAAATATTTTTTATTATAAACATATTTACAAGTCCTCCATTATTATTAAATTTACCATCCAGATCTGATTTTATCATTCATTTCTGGAAATATAGTACTTAAATTAAAGTTTGTTAAGGATGAGCTGTTATTAGTAATGTTCGGTGATGGTGTAGGAATGTGTGTGTTATTTATATTTTTCGAGACATTTATGTTAGCATTTGTTTGCGAAGAAAATGTAGGCAAAGTATGATGCTGATTTATATGAGACCTTACATTTCCTGAGTATAATAAATTTTGATTTTGATAATTTTGAGATGATGCATTTGAAGTGTATCCTAAAGAATAATTATAAAATGAGTCTTCTGTGAATACAGGTGAATGGCTTCCTGGCATATAGTTGAAGTCTATCATGTTATTTTCTTGAGCTTTAGTTTTCTTTAATGATTTCCTAACATAAGTACTATTTGGATTCGGCATACTCTTGTTATCAATATTTTTATATGTATTACTTTTGAAGTCATCCATGCTATGTTGCTGTATTGATTGAGTTTGCATATCGTTTTGACTTGATAAATGCAACAATTTGTTCATATCCATATTATTTACTCCTGCATTATTTTTAGCGTAAGCATAATTATTTGTTGAAGTTGGATATGGGTAGTTCGTACCGGCCAAACTTGTGTTTTCTGAAGTCTTTACATGTTGTTTATTGTACTTTGACACAGGTTGATGTATATCAGAAGAAAAATCGACCAAAGGAAAAAATTGTTGCTGGCGAAAATTTCCTATGCTGAAATCATGCTTTGTATCATCACTAAGTAGAGCTTCTGTTGAATATTTTTTATTCGCTTTTGGCATTAAATTATTTTGGTCATTAGATTTTTGAAATATATCTGCATCATGGTTTACTGATTCTATCATACTACATAAATCTTCTTCATATTTCACATTTTTCTTTACATCTGATGAATATTTTTGCTTACTACATGCAAAATGACGTCTTTCATTATTTTGTAAAGTGAGATCTTTTTCAGATTTATACTGCTCCACTAATTGACTTACTGAGAAATTATTACTCCAAGTATTACTTTGCATTGGTAAATCATTGGGTTTAGTAATATTCTTATCCAATTGCTCTTTAGGAACAACATTATAATCTTTTTTATCTTTAAAACAAGATGTATATTGTTTAATGTTGTTTTGTGTGTGCTGAAAAGGTGTAGTGTTTCCTAATGCCAAATCTCCAATTAAAGTCGGTAATGTTGTTGGCAATACTAATTGTGAATGACTATTATTATTATTCCATGTATTTAAATTTTCATTTGGAGGAACAATAAAAAACGGTTCTTTAGCATCAGCGCTGCTAGACATATTGAAATCCAAATTGTTATAATTAAAATTACTGTTTTGAATGTTAAGTTTTGGGAGACTACAAGAATTTTGTCGGACATCTGGTGTAGTCATCCAATTTACAGGAAGTTTGATCGATTGAGAATGATCCTTCAAAGTGTCTTTCATTATTTCATGTCTCTTTGCTTTAGAATTGTTACCACTTGTAGAAGCATATGGTTTATACCTCATTGATACATCCTTAGTATATTTGTTTTCTTGTTCTTGATAGTTATTTTCTGCTTTATTTTTTTCATTTATACACAATCTATCATTCAAGCCTTGTTGTTTTTCATTATACAAATTATCACAACTTTGAGAACCGGAATTGCCTTGCAGTGCAAATGTGTTTGATGGTTGCAATTTTGCATCAGTAGGTATTATAGAAGTCGATACAGAAGAAATGTAGTCTGACTTGTCTTTACCAATATTACCAGTATTGAAAGGTGTGTAAGGATTATAGAAGTTTTGGGCTTCTGAATACATTGGTTTCATATTATTGCAAGAAGGAGCTAAAGAAGTTTCACTTTGTGAAACAGCCATGGAATATGTGAGATTGATCGTTGAAGGTTTTGCATCCATCCGATTCATTTCTCTACTATATTGTACCTGCACTGAAGTAGAAGGAACTTTAGGTATTATCTCTTGATTATTTAAACATGATAGACTCATCGAGCTATTATCAATCATTATGTTTGTATGACTAAATTTATTCTTCTCTTCTTTATTACCTATGTCATAAGGGGAATTGTATATATTATTTTGCAAGCCTAAACTGCAGTTATTGGAATTTCCATAGGTATAAAGGCATTGTGCACTTCTTTTACTACTGTATTTATCTGTAGTATGTGATATTGAAGGTTTTATTTCTTTACTAAAATCTTTCAGTTCAATTTTAGCACTTGGTAAATCACTTTTTGCATTGTACAAAGTTCCAGTACCTTTTGAAACCATTCTCTTGTCACATGAATTTTGATTTTTATTCATTTCCTTGGATGTAAATAATGTAGAAAATTGATCCAAATTCAAAAGATTCGAACCTGTTGTATTATCTGCAATCGTCTTATGATTTCCAATTTGCAATAAAGATGTACTTGTTTCCTGAGTCTCTGAACTTTCATCCATAACTTGGTTAACTTTTCCTCCATTAAGTGATGATACCAAAGGAAAAGCTAGAAGAAAAGCAGCTGTGGGGGATGTACACCCTGCCTGATGGTTTACCATTGGCGCAACTTGCAAAGAAGCAAATAAGTCATTAGATAAATCTGATAACATCGGATCACATTTTGAAGTGTTATCCATACAGAGATTGGTATGTGGCCCTTTTTTCGATTGAGAAATCTTCTCACAAACTTGAACTGTTTGTGAAGTGTTGTCAAGTTTTGATGGGACCATATTGTCTATTTTGATATTGGCATTGCACAAAGAATCAATACTATAAGTGGCTACGGATGTAACAATTGTTTTTTGATTGAAATCATTACTTTTTTTGCTATCATTAGGAGGCTTTGTATCTGCATTTATAGGTTCTGTAATTTTATCAACGATTGCATTTTCTTTAGATTCTTCAATTACTTGTAGTTTGGCAGAAGTTTCAGCCATACCTATACTTTTAATAATCTGTTGATCATTAACTATTTTCTTACTTACTCTTTTCTTCAAAAGTTTTGATTTTCTCAACATTCTATACGTAACTCGGCACACTTTTTTTTGTTTTGGTTTTAGACTTGATTTCTTCCCTAATGATTTTAATTGTGATTTGTGTAATGCTGGTATAGGTACTTTATTCTTGATTGTTGCATCATGTAAGTTGACTTTCACTTCTTTAGAAGCTATTTTTATATTCCCATCACTATCAGTTTTTTTAATCACCCTACTATTCAAAACTTTGAGTGGATTGGTGGCTGTTTTGAAATTTGGCAATGCTGTGTTTTTAATAATTGTCAGTCCATTTGATATCTTCAAAGCATTAACTTGCGGTTGAGAATTTAGTTGAGGATCATTTACAATTATAACTATAGGACAAGTATTTTGGACGCTGCCACTCGCTGTGATTTGTATTTTAGACTTGTCTGCAAATATATATCAATAAATATATAGATATGTAAAAATTAATTCCTTCATTTACTAACCACTTGTTTTTTCTGAGTTTTTAGCGCCTTTTTTCTGCACTACTTTATTTTTAACTAAGTTATCATCCTTGAAAGCAGCTGTTGGAATATCTATAAAATATATGAAAACAAATATTTTTTTTAAAACAGCTTTTTCAAATTTCAAGTAAAACTTTGAATAGTACACATTTCACTTTGAATACACATATTAAATTTCATTGAATAGTTTGTTCGGTATAAACTTATAATATAATATAATCTTGAGAAAAATGGTAATGGTAATTAAATCATGTTAACAAATTTTATAAACAAGAAAAAAAATAATATTATAATTAGCTGATTTAAATAAGTATGTATCAATATATGTATTTATTCAATTTCTTTTTTGATTTTTGAATTTAATAAATGTTTTTTTTGTTTCGTAAATTATTATTATTTATTTAAACCCTTTGCTTAATAACTCTTTTCACTATTTAATTACTTTCAAAGAAAATTATGCATAAAGAACCAACAATTAATTTTAAAGTTACTTAATGCAGGTAAAGATTATATGTCTGTTCTACTAACTTGCATAATAAAATTTACTATCAATAAAATTTAACAGTATTTAATTTTAGTCGAATCACTCTAAATTTTTTATTAAATCTTTTTGATCAAATTATAGAATATTCAAGCAAAACTCTTTTATAAAAATGAGAGATCGGTTTTCTTATAAAGTTAGTTATAAAGCCTAATTATAATAAGTTATTCTAAATCTATGTACAAAATTATTTTACAGTTACCTGTTTCTTTTTCCACATATCTCTGATCTGAACCATTTTTTGCAGCATTAGTATTAGCCACATTTTTTCTTGATGGGCCATTTGTTCCCAAATCATTAGTTTTATCATCATTTTTATCAACATTGGAACCAGTTTCAATATTGTGAATACTATTACATAGGTTTTGCTTCAGAGCATCATTTTCTGAGACATTTTGTCTATTTTCGATTTCAATATTTGGTACAGGCAAACCGGCTTCTTGTATGGTTTTAGTCAAAATGTTACATTTGTCACTTAATACTTTTATTTCATTAAGTAACTTTGTATGTTTATCTAAAAATAAATTTAGCAAACTACAATGGCCAATTCAGAATATTGCAATTTTGTTATGTAAAAATCCAGAAAATATGATTATTGGATACTTGGATTGGATTAATTCATTTATATATTATATTAATATATAAATACATATATGGTAGAGTTTGATTGATAAAAAATATTCCGAATTTAATTGAAACTATTTTGTATGCATTAAACTAGATCAAGAAATTTTTAGTGAAATGATATCCATCAATTGATTAATTTTTCAAATATGTATAATCTATAAAAAACATTTGGCCTTAAACTTACAGCTTTTTTTATTGCAATCTGAGTCATAATCTTCTTCAATCATAATCAGATAATCGAATTTTCTTTTAGATTATGACAAAAAAAAATCTAATATAAATAGTTGTACTTAATAACGGTTAAATTAGTATTAAGCTTTAACATACCATTTTGTTCGCCAGTGAGTTTCTCTATTAATTCTGTAGCTTTCTGAATTATTAACACTTTACTTAAATTTGTGCTTGAATTCTTTTCAGGAAGTAAAGAAGCTAACTTTTCAAAGCTCGCATTGAACCTGTTGCGTCTATCTCGTTCCCATATTCGATTTTTTATACTATAATACAAGGAGAATATTTGATTAATAGAAAGAAATATTAATTAAATTTTAAAAATACACACAAACAGAACAGTCACCTTTGTAATTTAAAAGAAATATTTAAATAGAGACTGAGAGAGTGTTGTTTATTAAATTTATCAGGAGAACAATCCTATATCAATCTAAAACTAAAAAATCGGATCTGCTCGATTTCTCATTACTTGAAGCTTAAACATTATTAACCTCGAAAGCAAATTTAGATTGGAAATAAACGGTAAGAATGATTCAATATGTATTTACAAAAAAATTAGAAATAGAAATCAAACATTTTATGGTATTTTACTATAGTTATCAACAACCCCAATGTAAAGGGTATAGATTTAGATGTTTCTCCATTCATTGATCGAAAATTAAATTGTAAATTTTTACTAATACAATAATAGCAACAATTTCTAATCCCTCAAACCTTAGAAAGTATTATTACTTTTTTTTCACAAAAATAATTGATTTTCAAATCATTACTAACCTTGGTGCCTTTTTAGGCATAATATTTGAAACATTATCATCTGTTTAAACAAATTGTAGTCGTCGATTTAATAAGTTATTAATTCTTGGAATTTATATTTGTTGACAAAACGATAAGAATGCAAATAATAAATTTACAACACTTGCTTGAACTAAAGACTACGATAAGTTCTCGCACAATAGAAAGGAATTAGTAACTTTTATAATATTTTAAGACTAGAATTTAGAAAATTCTAGATTGTAAGAAACAAGAAATCTAATTTTTCTTAACAATATAGAGCCAAGATATGTATTTTATGTTATTTATTTTATTATTTCACAAATTGCAAAACGAAAATAATGTTACTTTCGATTTGAGGTTATCACAATTCTGACAGTTGACAGATTGATGTCAACAATGGAAGCCAACAAGAATCGGCGCGTAATTTGAACTTTATTTAAACCAATTTGAATATGAGAATTGTTTTATGATTACATCGGCTTTTAAAAAGATCTTAATCTTGAAATTTAACTTAAAATTGATTAAATTAATTATGGAGTATATATTAAATACCCAATTAAACACATATCACTTAAACCAATTCTCATATTCAATTTATTTAAACAGATGATAACATGAGTATATATCATCATATAATATGTAAGTAAGAGAGTAAGATGAACCTAATTCCAAAATTTTATCACAGTAAAAAAATTCAGACCCAAAACGCTCATTGACCTGAATAAATGTTCCGCGTATTCAATGCCAATTTTGATTGTGATTCAATAAAGTAAGGCAAAACACGACTGCATTTGTTAAAAATTAATAATCTGTCAAATTGAATTATATAGGGTGGACTATACCGTGTGGGCTGAGCCCATCAATCTCGAAATATGAGTTTGTCTAAAATGTCTGCCTAAAAAATAAAAAAACGAGCCCATTCATCCACAATTTGCTTCCGACGCCACTGACTGTATCTTATATTATTTTAATTCATAATCATGATTACATTATATTTTAATATTGTCTTAGCTCATAAGTGAATTAAAATATTTGGCAAATGACAGTTTTCATTTGTTTTCCATGTCAAACAATGATAAGCAGTTTTTTGTAATTTTTACCATTTATTTCTACAACCTAACTATATTTCTATAAATAAAAAAATCCTAAGAAATTCCCTTAACAAACTTCTGAAAAATTTATCAAAATCCAAATAATTGTTTAGGAGAACTATCCTTTAACATCATTACAGAAAAATTTTATATATAACATATGAAAGATGAATTTTTCTAATACAATCACAATATTTTATTATACTTATACTATAGACTGCAATAGCTATTGTCATACAAATATTTATATAAGTCGATAAAACATTTTTTAAAAAATTTAAACAAACAATACAATTATATAATAAGTAACAATTGCCTTGATTAACAATGATTGTATATTGTGATGTTTACTGTTTATTTTATACTATTCATACATTCTATTACATGCAAGAATATTTTATAACTTTTTTGCCTAATATTTAAATTCTATTTGAGAAATATGTTTATATTTCATGGATTATTATTTCATTTCCGACTATAAAGTAGCATGTGTCTCTTCAAATCATTAGAATCATTTCAAATTTATAAGGATGCTTTCTGGGATAAATAAGCATGTGTCTTTTCAGAAGACTTAATTGTGTGAATGTATTATTATAAATAATTACATTTATGGAGATTGTGTATTCAATTGTGAATTTGCATGTGGCATTTCAGATTACCTAATACTGTGAATCTCTTATTACAAACATTACATTCATAGGGCCGTATACCATTGTGAATCAGCATGTGTGCTTTCAGACCACTCGATGCTGTGAATGTCCTATTACAAACATCGCATTGATGGGGGCGTATTCCATTGTGAATCAGCATGTGTGTTTTCAAACTACTTGATTGTGTGAATGTCTTATTACAAATACTGCATTCATGAGGGCGTACTCCATTGTGCATCAGCATGTGTTTTTTCAGATTACTTAATTGTGTGAATGTTTTATGGCAGATACTGCAAACATGGGGGCGCTCACCACTGTGAATGGCCATGTGACTTTTCAGGTTACTTGATTGTGTGAATGTCTTTTTACAAATACTGCATTCATGGGGGCGTACTCCTTTGTGCATCAGCATGTGACTTTTTAGGCTATGTGATTGTGTGAATGTTTTTTTGCATATACTGCATTCATGGGGGCGCGCTCCTTTGTGCATCAGCATGTGTTTCTTCAGATTACTTGAATGTGTGAATGTTTTATGGCATATACTGCAAACATGAGGGCGCTCACCACTGTGAATGGCCATGTGACTTTTCAGGTGACCTGATTGTGTGAATGTCTTATTACAAATACTGCATTCATGGGGGCGTGCTCCTTTGTGCATCAGCATGTGTCTTTTCAGATTACTTGAATGTTTGAATGTTTTATGGCATATACTGCAAACATGAGGGCGCTCACCACTGTGAATGGCCATGTGACTTTTCAGGTGACCTGATTGTTTAAATGTCTTATTACAAATACTGCATTCATGGGGACGTGCTACTTTGTGAATCAGCATGTGTTTTTTCAGATTACTCGATTGTGTGAATGTCTTGTTGCATATACCGCATTCATGGGGGCGTTCACCAATGTGCAAAAACATGTGAGTTTTCAGATGATCTTTTCGTTTGAAAGTCTTATGACAGATTTCGCATTTGAAAGGGCTTTCTTTGCTATTACTATGCTTGTGATCGACCATATGCTCTTTTAATTCATCAGATTCTGCAAATGAGTGATTACAAATCTCACATTCATAAGCTGGTGTCTCAACTAACTCCTGTTTTACTTCTTCTTCGATAGTCACTTCGGAGTTCAAGAATCTTTCTAAACAGGTTTCATCATCCTTAGAATACGATTCAGATTTAACAATATCATCAAAATCATCCTGAATTTCGCGTTTAATGTCTTCTTCTGAATAATCTGGTGGTTCAATTTTAATTTTTTGATCATTCATTGACATAATTGTTTCTTCTGACATTTTTAAATATTTTGAACTGCTAATACTCGTTTACGAAATAATTGAAATAATTCCAAAATAATTGTGGGCTAAATAATAATCTCGTTTAATCAACAATCCTTTTCAATGCTATAACTGAATTCAACTTAAATTAAATTTGTTTGACATTTGGAGCATAGCGTACTTTCTTGAAAAGATGAGACACTTCGTTTTGTTATTTGCTATGTGTGTGACTGCAGCGCCAGATTAAATATAAACTACGAAAGCCATAGATAAAAGTTGTTATTAAAAAAGATATTAAAGATATTAAAGAAATTTTATAAATAATAATAAACAAGATACAATAAAAAAGTGAAAGTTTACGAAATAATTGAAATAATTCCAAAATAATTGTGGGTTAAATAATAATCTAGTTTAATCAACAATCCTTTTCTAGGATTTGAAATGTATAGCTCATTGGAATATAAAACTGATACTTATTTAAATAAACTGTATAATGAAATAGCTTCGTCACAAAAAATGACCAAACACAAATATTTATTGTTTACCTTTAATCAACATAACCTCAAAATTCTACTGTCAAAATGAAGTAAGAAATGTCAACCTTTGAACACAAAAAATAAAAACTAAATGCTTATTCTTGTGAAATAAATAGTTGATACTATTATTTGTATAAGTGAATCTTTTATATCAATTTGCTAATTATAGTTATTATTTATGAATTTGTTATTGAAGAATAAATTCATGATAACAAATAAAAATGTCTGATGCTTGGGAAGAAATTCAAGCTGTTAAATCCAAAAGAAACAGTTTAAGAGAAAAATTAGAAAAACGGAAAAAGGAAAGAATTAATTTATTAGGAGTCTCGTTAACATCTGCTAATTTAAGTTCTCAAAAATCTGAAAGCAAATTAGAAAAATTAAGTGAAGCTAAAAAGACTGATAGTGAACTGTTAGTAGAGGATAAAAGCCCGGCGACTAAGTCTGAAAATGGTAATAAGTATAAATTAAATGAACTTAGTTCAAGTTTTTACTGCAATAAATCTATTAAGTTAATAGGAAATATACTAGTGTACGGGATAGTGAGAAGGGATCAATTTCTTATTTTTACTAGAGAGAGAAGACTTAATTTTCCAAATTATATTCAAAGTCATAAAATTAATTAAACTTATGTTTATGTATATATATATATATATATGAATATTTTTCAAGCATTTACTTTATCTATCTAACTACAAAATCAAATTTAAGAATTCTTGGCTCAATATTGCAGATTTGTTATAGTTTGTAGTTATCTCGGACTAATTTACAAAAATATTTTGAGATGTTTGTATACTTTCCTAATGATTTACATATAAACTTAATAGAATAAAAAACAAAATTGCATAAATTCTTCTATTAAATGGCTAATATAATACCTGAAATTATGTAAAATAATAGGAATAGTTCATCAAAAATCAGAAAAATAATACAACAAAGATATAATACTTTGTTCCAATATATTAATTGAAGAATTAAATTTTCCGGGAAAATATTTTTTATATTTCAATTCTTTAGATAATTTTCAATAATCTTAATACTTTAATATGTGCCCTAATTTTAATATTAAATTTATCTGGTATTAAATTTATTATGGCAAATGTCCAGATGATTAATATTATGATCAATAGCAATATTGTATTCTCCAAGTATTTAAAGCTTTTGGAAAATATAATCATATGATTAAGAAAATCATTCAGCTATTCAAATTAATTGTGTTTTTTTTTTCTTATATTTTAAATACTTTTTTCTGTAAAGATTTACCAGAAGAAAGCATTGAGAAGAGTTTAGTGCAGTGCTTAGCAGATGTAACTCTTCCTCTACCAATTACAAGTGTACGATTAGAAGCATTGCTTGCTAAAGAATTAAATAAACCAAACTTGTTACATTCTATAACAAGTTTGTTAAATAAATTAGCAATTCAATTACTAATAAGGTAAAATATCGTTATCTCATATACTTATATATTTGTATATTATGTATTAATATATGAGTTCTATTTTAGTGTGAGAGAAACTCAGTGCTCATCGTCCACAGTATTAGAAGTTATATCTGCAGATCATTCTAAGCTTACAGCTTTGGCTGCTGAAATTCTTACCAGTGAACTTAAAACTACAAATAGTGATGACTCAGAACCTCATAATAAAAAGAAACGTAAGAATATTACATATTATAAAAATATATAGTTAAATTTTTATCTAAATAATGGAATAAATTTTAATTTTTAGGAGAAAATGATGATAATGACAATGGAAAGCTTGTGCGTTCAGAAAGGGATAATAGTAAAGCTGAACCAAAAGACATCATGGTAATATGCTACAATAAAATGACTTTCATTGTTTTTTTTTCATTCAAATCACTTTTTTTTCTTTCAGTCACTGCTTGCTATGCCATCCATTAGAGAAAAGCAAAGTAAACGGGTTGGCGAAGAAATTCTAGAACTTCTTTCAAAGCCAACAGCTAAAGAAAAATGTCTTGCAGAAAAATTCAAATCCCAAGGAGGTAGTATTTGATATACTCATTATTCATGTATTTAAATAAATGAACTGTGATGAACTGTTTAATGTAATAATAGGTGCCCAGGTTATGGAGTTTTGCCCTCACGGCACACGGTTAGAATGTAACCGAGCTATGAATGTTAAAAAAGAAGAAGCAAGCGATAATACAGAAAACGAATGCACAAAATTACATTTTAAGAAAATAATACAACAACATACAGATGAAAGTCTTGGGGACTGCTCATTTTTGAACACCTGTTTTCACATGGACACTTGCAAGTAAGATGTTTATTTGAAACAGTTCTTTAAAATGAAGTAAGAAATGTCCTTTTAAAATGAACTTTTGTGATAAATTGTAAAATTAAAATCAAACTGATGTGAGTTAATTATATGAACTTAATTACATTTAACACAACACCAGTATTTCTTGTAACATATTTTAGTTTTTATGATAAGGTGAGCATGTACAAAGAAACTATTTTATTGGAAAGTAAACATAAACATATGCATTAGCATAAATCCATGTGATAATCTTATCTAAGGTATCTACCGTCAAAAGAAAACTCATAAAAATCGTCGAAAAAAAATTTTTTTAACACTTTATTACAAGAAAACGACCCGGCCGATCTTTATCAAAAACTAATCAAGTCAATTCCCAACCAATTTCTTTCGAACGGTTTTTGAATTCAAAATAGATTCAGAATTGCAGGCTAAAACGTGGACGAAATTTTTTTCACTTTTCTGCTATTTATAAAGAAATGGCTTAGCCGATCGTCGCACAGACATGACAAACTATAGTCCTCGTCGAGATACATCGAATGGCTTTTAAATTTTTTAAATCTGTCCATCCGTTTTTGAGAAATCGTCGATTTACAACAAAAAATCTGTTCACACACACACACATACTTATTCCAAATTTGGTCTCATTTAATTCAGAATGGCTAGATACGTCGAGAAAACACAAAATTAGCGATCGGATTTTTTTATGAAAACAAACTTTTCCTTTGGGAGGTTATTAAAAATAATTAATAAGTCATATTTTACGTCATATTTTACGTTAGCTAGTCATATTTTACGTTTAAATACGCTCATCTTATGATAAAAGCTAGGCAGAATATATGTCGCAAGAAATACTGGCGTCGTGTTCACCGGGCCTAATTGTAATATTTTCATTTGAATATTACAATTGATGTATTCTTCGTTTATGTTAAATAGTATTATATGATGAATATTAGTAAAATGAGCATTTATATTAACATGTATTATATAACGTTGTTTTCATATTAAAATTATATTTTTCTAGGTATGTTCACTATGAAGTTGATGGTTTTACTAGCAATACTACCAAAGAAGTAGAAAGTGCACGCCCCTCAACTTTGAATCGTATGCAAGATTCAACAGTTTTGTACCCCCCACAATGGGTGCAATGTGATTTGCGATATTTGGACATGACTGTTTTAGGTATGAATTAATATATACCTGTTTGATATTTTTATTTTGAAATTTTATTTATAATTTTCTGAGAAGCATTATAAAATAGACTACTGATAATTTTAAGATATTTTGATATATTTTAGATATTTTACATTTTTCTGATCAGATTAACTTGAAAATTAACTTAAGTGCATTTATATGTGTACACAAAAGCCAATTAGTTTCTAATAATCCATCAAGCCCTTTCATTGTAACTAGGAGTAGAAAGATAAAATGTTCCGCCGAACGAAAAACTGGCATAAAATTTGTATAATATTTGAGATACACTTATGTATATCTCTTGAAGCATTTTTTTTACAATCATTAAGACAAAAATAAGAAAGTCTGTGTTCTCATTCAATTAGTCAAACAAAGTATTAGTCAACTATTGTAACTAATTTCAGCTGAAGCTTCTTACAGATTTGTAATTCAGAACATAAGTTTTGTTCTATAATTGCTCAAAATATGCCAGATAAAATTAACGTTTTAAAAATATCGTTTCGGCATCAAGTTTATCAGTTTCGTGAACAGTTAAAGACATAGATAAGTAAACATAAAGGTTAAAGATTTATTGGTTATTTATTTATTGGTTAAAAATTTAATTTTTTGCTCCGTCATTGACCGTTTGTTTCTTTACTATTCCGCTAGCGATACAGTCTCATTCTTAAAGCAGCTGTAGTATGTGTCTTGCCTATAAAAATAATTTCTAAAAATATATAGTAACTACGAATAATACAAATTATTTCAATAAGCTTATAGTTCATAAACAATCGACCCGTATAGAAATGATATCATCCAGAGCGAATGACGAATCATTGGCACAATCACGTTTTTCCGTTGCATTTGTACAGATTTACGCCCTAGTCGCGCCTAAAAAAGCTTTATTTCAAAATATTGTTAGTACTTACGACGTGTATATTAACACTTGTCTCAACAGGGAAATTTGCTGTGATCATGGCAGATCCACCATGGGACATTCATATGGAACTTCCATATGGAACAATGTCTGATGATGAGATGAGAGAATTAGGTGTTCCTGCGTTACAAGATGACGGTTTAATATTTCTATGGGTAACAGGAAGGTAAATTTAAAACTATAGTTTTAGGGACCGACTCTGCAGCATAATAGACCAATGTTATGGCAAGGCAATGTTATGAAGAACTTTCCATACAAATTCGTTGTAAATATTGACAAAAGCCATGCGGTTTCTGTGCAGTCAGGCGTGTTTCTCAGGTTGTCAGATAGAAAACCTAAACTAGAAACAGCATAAATGTCAAGAAAACGATCTTAAATAACAGGGTCTTTCTGACCCAGCTTCATAACATACGAGTGACGTTGCAGTTTATGTGTAAAACTCCTGAATGCACAGAAAATGCATAACATTTTGACAGTATTCAGTATGATTCTGAGTAGCCTTATGTATAGAAGTTGGAGCGTAACATGGCCTTGCCATAACATTTGTCTATTATGCGGCAGAATCGGCCCTATAGAATTTTTAAAATATCTATAAACTTAAAATATTATATAGAGCAATGGAGCTTGGCCGAGAATGTCTAAACTTATGGGGTTATGAACGAGTTGATGAAATTATTTGGGTCAAAACAAATCAGCTGCAGAGAATAATTCGTACAGGAAGAACTGGACATTGGCTAAATCATGGGAAAGAGCATTGCTTAGTAAGAATTTAAAAATAAAATATTGATAACAATGTAAACCATGGTTTAAAAATTAAAATCCACGTTGTATTTAGGTCGGTATGAAAGGAAACCCTCCGAATCTGAATAGAGGTTTAGATTGTGATGTAATCGTTGCGGAAGTTAGAGCTACAAGTCATAAACCAGATGAAATTTATGGTATGATTGAGAGATTATCACCAGGGACAAGAAAGATTGAACTTTTTGGCCGACCGCATAATGTTCAGCCCAATTGGTAAAAGGATACATTTAAATTATATAAAACAACTAAAAGATTTTGTTTTTGTATTGAAATATTTGAAAGGATTAACTCTTATATGTACTCATTTTTTTTCTTTAAGGATTACTTTAGGAAATCAAGTGGATGGTGTTAGGTTAGTAGACCCAGACTTAATAGCATCTTTCAAGAAAAGATACCCCGATGGAAATTGTATGGCACCGAAACCTACAGTATAAATATTATATTAAAATTCGACGAACCTGAAATTATATTTTTTATTCAATAAATTCATTATGATTTAATAAATTTGTATATGATTTCATTTCTGCAAATTCATGTGTAAGAAAGTAATAAATATATAGTTGTTGAATAAGAATTCTGCACTTTTTCATACGAAAATTTGAAAAAAATTCGAAATACCAATTTTTAACTTTCTTCCTCATTATTTGGCCTAAATGCGAAAATCATCAAAAATATGCGAAAGTGTGCCCTTTTTTTAAACGATATCTATTTTTATAAATTAATATTTTCTCGAAGTTTTGAGTCATTCTGAATCGTATAAGACAAAATTTCAAACAGTATGTGTTTATGTGTGAGCCGACTTCATAAAAAACAGATTGTATATAGATGATATACGAGTATATTGCCAAAAAAAGTTCCATAAAAATCGGCTGAAATTTTTTTTCAATGGTTAATTACAAGCGGCAAGATTTTCACTTAAAACTAATCAGTATATTCACAACAAATATCTTTCGAACAGTTTTTGATTTTCTTAAATCGATTCGGTAGTATGAGCTTAAATGTAGACGAAAAGTTTAACACTTTTTTTCCAAATTACAAAGAAACGGCTCAGACGATCGTCGCACAAAACTGACAAACGATAATCCTCATCGAGATACATCGATTGGCTTTTAAATTTCTGAAATCGGTTCAGGCGTTCTCAAGCAAACGTCACTAATTTTTGCAAACTTTGAAGAATTTTTAAAATTAAACAACTTGTAGGGCCGTAATATTTTAGTATTATCTATAAGACTGTGGTATCTACCGTCAAAAAAAAGCATAAAAATCGTCGAAAAAGATTTTTTTAACACTTTATTACAAGAAAATGGCCCGGCCGACCTTTACTAAAAACTAATCAGCACGATTCCCAACCAATATCTTTCAAACGGCTTTTGAATTTTCAGATTTGCGGGCTAAAACGTAGACGAAGATTTTTTCACTTTTCTGCGGTTTACAAAGAAACGTTTCGACTGATCGTCGCGCAAAATTGATAAGCGATAGTCCTCATCGAGATACATCAAATGGCTTTCAAATTTTTGAAATCGGTCCATCCGTTTTGGAGAAAATGTCTATTTACGGCAAATAATCTGTTCGCACACACTTTTTTCAAATTTAATTTCATTCAATTCAGAATGGCTGGAAACGTCGAGAAAACATAAAATTATCAAATCGGATTTCATGGCGAAAATAAACTTCTCCTCTTCGGGATCATAATTATACGTATCATTATATAGTACATGTAGAAATTCGAACCCCAAATCCACCTTTAGGAACATGTGATAAATAATAACAATTATTTAATTTATATAATAACAGATATATTTAGGAAAATATAAAAACGCGTATACTTAACAACAATTAATAATACTAATAGAAATTTTAACTAACAAGTAAGTAGTACAAAGTAAGTGTTCAATCCCATGGATTTCTAAATTTCCAATTTGGGTCAAATGATAGTCCATGACAACTCCACGACCTCGGTATGAAATATTGGAGCAACGAATCATCCTCTCTTTCATTAGAGCAGTTTAGTCTTGAAAAATATTCCATACTATAGAAACTAAGTAGTAGTCCGTTTCCTACGCATAAGGATAGCCACATAAGTAAATTGCCAGCAGATCTATTTTTCTCGTTCTTGATAAAAATCAATAAAAGTCCGATAACTCCAAACATGAACAATAATACAGGGTAGAAAAATCTGAAGGCGAACGCTAAGATATATTCGTGAACCACAGCCGAAATGAAGAATACCATCAACGTTGAACATATCTTGTTTCTTGGTGTAATGTTTTCATACATTTCTTTATAAATGTAAGTGTACAGCCAATCGTGTACAACTATATTCCATGTTCGGTAATATTCACCATATGAAGTCGCATTCCACCAATCCTATAAAGACATAAAATATCACTGTCACAGAAAATGGAGAATTTCTAATCTTTCCGCTACGAGCTCTCCATTAAAAGATTTACATGACTACGTGTGTACGGATGTCGTCTATATTAAGTTAATGATTAACTAGTTGAAAGTGGCATTTAGCCTTCAGGCAAGTTGCATAAACTTCCTGAAATGTATAATAATTGACTTAATCAACCGAAATTGAGATTTAGATATTTAGATAAAATTTTCAACTATTTATATGGAAAAGTAATGGGCCCAAAATCGAAAATGAAAATTTATGCATATCTTCACGTGTTGAAGGTTTCTGATCATTTTGGCATACCACTGAAAAAATGGATGTGTGTGTGTGTGTGCGTGTATGTGGGTGTGTGTGTGCGTGTGTGTGTTTTGCATGTCCGCATTTTTTCGTCCACGTTTTCGGGCGCACAGATCAACCGATTTGAATGGTTCAAACAACATTTGATTCCTATTGATAGGAATGACCTAGATGTGCTGATTAGTTTTTGGCATACGCAGGTCTAGCCGTTACGGAGATACGGAGCAAAGAGTGCAGAAAATACAAATCGGGTTTTTAACAGAACGGAGTATCCGATTTGAATGATCTAAAAAACATTACATTTGTAATGATTGGGAGAAGAAGTGATTAGTTTTTGGCAAATGCAGGTCCAGCCATTTTAAAGATACAGAGCTAAATATGCAAAAACTGGCAGTTTTTGAGAGAACTAAGCGTCCCATTTGAATGATTCAAAAAACTTTCTGTTTGTTTTAACAAAATAATTGATTTTGGAAAAACAATTTGTTTGAATTTTTTTTCAATTTTTTTTTCGATTTTTTTTTTGTATATGGAAAATAATTCAGATTTTAATTTGAATTCTGACTAAAGTTCTGATATACTCTAAACAAATAATTTCAACTTTGTAATTCAGTTTATAACTAATTCTTATAAATATTAGACAGTATTTATTAATAATAATCTATTTGAAAACATTTAATATTCTTCGAACATTTCGTTACGGTACGGGAAGATTCAGCAATTTGCCTTAAGGCACGATGCCATTGGCCACTAGTTTTAAATTTTAATGAATTGATAATACTTGACTCATCACATCACAAAAGCAGCTTTTGGCACAAATGTTGATTATAATATTTTCGTCAAATTTAGATGAAATTTTAAAATTCAGTATGTTGTTCAGGACTATGATATCTATTTACATTAAAAGTTTCATCACAATTTTTTTTAACAGTTAATTACGCAGAAACGGCTCGGTTGATCTTTGTCCAAAACTAATCAAAAAGACTCCCTAATAATACCTTTCGAATAGTCTTTGAATTTTTAGAATCTGTACAAATTTTTTGGCTAAAATGAGGACGGAAAATTTTTCACTTTTCTGCTAATTACAAAAAAACGGCTCAGCCGATTGTATAAACATCTAACCGACGCAAGTGCTTATCCAGTTTTATCAAATGGTTTTGAAATTTTTAAAATCGACTCAACCGTTTTTGAGAAATCGTCGATGAAAAGTCTAATTTTGACAAACGCTAAAAAAGTCGACAATTTTTTTCAATCTTTGACGAACTTTTAAAGTTAAACGAATTGTCGTAGGGCCGAAATATTTTAGTATGATCTAGAAAACTATGATATCAATCCCAAAAAAAATTGATGAAAATCGTCAAATAAATTTTTTCAACAGTTAATTACAAGAACACGTGCTAGCGTATCTTGCCAACTAATCAGTATCTTTATCAACCGATATCTTTTGAACGGTTTTTAATTTTTAAAATCTCGGACTAAAACGTGGACGAATTTTTTTTTTACTTTCCTGCTATTTACAAAAAAACGGCTCGGCGGATCACCTCGCAAAACTGAGAAACACTGGTCCTCATCCAGATGCATCGAATGGCTTTTAAAATTTTGAAATCGGTACAGCCGTTTTTGAGAGAACGTCAATTTACGGTAAAAAATCTTTTCAGGCACACGCACACGCACACACACATACTTTTTTCAAATTTGGGCCATTCGATTCAGAATCGCTTGAAACGCCGAGAAAACATAAAATTGGCGGACGTTTTTTATGAAAACATAAACTTCTTTGGGAAGTTTATAAATTTTTGAAGGCGCGAAGCACGTTTGAACAAGACTGTGACAATATCGCTCAACATCTGACAGGTCGAGAAAACGTGAATAAAACTAGCCAATTTTTAGATAAGGCCACTATGTTATTTTGTCCATATGTCATTTTGTCCATATTTTTCCTAATATATTAGGATTTTGCCTGACAGTAGTGGCACTAATATACTACTATAATTTGATGCGAGTTTTCAGTTCTTTAAAAGTGTAATCTTTAAGTTTTAATACATTTTAATTGATAATGATCGCAGTTTTGAACAGCAGTGCCACTATTGTCGTAGCAAAATGGTTAATAGCAAAGAAACTTTACCTTATAAAAAAGCCTATCAGCAAATCTAAGCAACTCCGCCGCAGCATTCATCCATGCATGCAGCAAGCAATAAAATCCGCACAGAAAGACCAAGGTCCCTGGCATCATGCAGCCAAAAACAGCCAAAACAAGATATCGAGCTTCTTGAGGACCATTTCCAAAATCCCGGAAAAATGGGATAACAAATCGTTGCAAGATGAAACTGATGTAAAATATTACGCCGATGACTTCCATGCAATGCCAGAATACTACGCGCCATCTCACTCGTTCAGTTCTGAAAAAAATTTAAAAAAATATATATGTTGTAGAGATGGGCTTATTATATCCGAAGCCAGATCGACTCGGATTTGACTCCGCTTCATGGTGGAGTTGTATCCGCTAAACAACTCCCGACTCCGACAATTTTGAAACCGAAATACTCGAAACAAATCCCATTAATTATTTGAAATAAAAATTTATGAATAATTATCAATAAAATATTTTTTCTAAAAAATTCACGAATAAATGACGGGAAAATTTATATATTAAAGTATTTTTAGCAGTGTTGACCAAAGTAAAAACGCAAAACTTGAGAATCAAATTCAATTTAATGATTTCCTTTTGATGAGAAAATATTTGATTTTTTGGTTTAATTTTATATAAAAATTATGTAGTAAACTTTGTAATAAAGGCAAAACATAATACTTCTGCTTTCAAAATTTTTCTTCTGCTATTTCCATTTGAGAATTAATATTATATCGCGTAGTTCGATTAGCATTTTATTACTTTTACACTATTATATAATTGTGTAAAAGTAATAATATAATACTGAATATTTTTACTGCTTGAATACTAATGATATCACTGATAAATTTTGTACTCAGGCTATGGAAAAACAAGATTAAATAAATGTATTTCGTTTCGTATATTTTTCGGTATGTATATTCTTAATTGCCGTCATTTACGGCCAAAGATTGTCGTAGTTAGAAATGTTACCCCTTACTATTCAATAAATTATACATTCGAACTATTCACACTTGAATGCAATTTCATTGTTCTGTATCTTTAAAGTAACCATTTTTGTATTTTCTGGAAAATACACAATGGTATTTATTTTGACTTTTATACCTAAAAAAGGTCATAAAACTGCCTGCGAGACAAGAAAGTGACCGCTTCCTTCCCAAAGCAAAAACGACAAAAACACTAAATGCCTGTACGAGTTAACAGATTTAATACCAGTTTAAGGAAGTCGGATATGACAAATCCTGTGAAACAACTCCACTCGAATTCACTCCAAGGGAGGAGTTGTATCGGAGTGATAACTCCAGAGTGAGTTACCCATCTCTATTATGTTGTGTGATAATAAATGGTGCAAAATCTACTCTATGTCGAGATTAAGATTATAGTAGTTGCAATATATATTATTGTCCTTTTTCCTAATTCTTGAGTTCTGATTAATGGTAATGTTTCTTCAAGGCATTTCTTTTTAATATGGTAAATTGACTAGATATACCAGATGTAGCTAATTTAGTCCAGTAATTATAGTAAGTTCACCTCGGAATTCGAGATAACTAGTTGTAAGTCTGTAAATACTTGCATATTGACACCCTAAAAGTTGTCTCAAAACCTACATATGGTAGGGTATACACAACATATGTAGGGTTTTGAGACAACTTTCAGTGTCAATATACAAGTATTTACGGACTTACAGCTGGGTATCTCGAATTCCGCGATTCTTACCTAATGTAAGTTCAAATGATTAGACTAATTGGTATTATGAAAAATCGCAGAGTAGACTACACGCTATTTGTATGTTATTTTAGTGTATTTTAAAAATGTGTAACACGTTGGAATGAATACTATGCAATAAAAATTAGAATATAATTTATACTCCGCACTTATGGTCCATATAACATTTGGAATAAGTTCGTTGAAGTAACAAAAACTCCAACATATTTTATATCCTATTCTAATTTTTGCACATAGAATGTTCCAACTTTTCTTTGAAAAAAAAAGAGTGCGCGTAAGGTTCACACGCGATTGAAGTAAAACTTATTTGCTACTGTACAAAGTGGCAAATTTAAGTTAAGTAAAAATAAATACAATATAACAATTTTGAATAATGTTTATTAGTAATATGATTTATTACATTTATTAGTGTCAACAATTTTACACATTTACATTATGATAAATTATAAATTATATATTTATAATAGCATTAAAAATATGTATATCTAAAAACAATAATGTAATTAAAGTCATTCTTCAGATATGACATTTGTCATTGTAATTGGCATTTAGAAATGAACCTTCATTAGAGAAATGAAGTAATTGCTGTTTAATAAATTCTATAATATTTGTTCACACAGTGGATTATATTGAACAACGCCTACCCTAAACAAATATTGTTTTCGCAACTTTACTCATCATTTAATTGTGTTTAAAGAACTTCATGTAATTGAAATTAACATACATTCATTGATTGATGGTATTTTTTCACTTTTTCGCTGGCGATATAATCTCATTCTTTGAACATCTGTAATATCTGTCTCGCCTAAAAAATATTTTCCATTTCAATAACTTCGAAGATTTATAGAAACTACGAATAAAATAGAAATAATTTCTAATCAATAAACTTACGTTTAGTACACGGCACAAATATTTTTGTTTTATTATATTCAAGAAACAGGGTAAAATATTCTTCTGATTAAGACATCAAGATTTGTACTACAATGTATAATTTTAGAATGATTTTTTATCTATGTTGTTGATATCGGTACGCATACAACGTTAATGCCGGTACGCATACAACGACAGATCTCTATTCACTACTACGACGACCATTCACAATCGACCCATTTTGAAATGATTTCTTCGAGAGCGAATGGCGTACAGTTCGGGCCATTTGTACGAATTTACACCCTAGTCGCGCCTAAAGAAGTTTTACTTCAAAAGTATTGTATGAATTAGATGTATTTGTATACGTTGCATAAGTTTCAAGATTTTGAAGTAAAACTTTTTTAGGCGCGACTAGAGCGTAAATCTGTACAATGCAACGGAAAAATCGTTACGGCCGAGTCGAGTGCCAATGATTCGTCATTCGCTCTCGATGATATCATTTCTATGCGGGTCGATTGTGATTGGTCGCCGTTTCGCGTGAGTATGATATGAGCTATGATTGTATAGTGAAAATAATAAAACAATAAAGCAGTACAGCTTTATTCTATCATGCCGAAAATATATCTTTTTCAGTATTATATCTCGGACACTTTTGGAAGTTCAGAGAAAGTCTACAAGTTTTTCGATCCCGATGGCTTTTAAGTATTACAAAGTTGTATATTTTTATAAATAATGAATTGATTTTCAGATTTATTACTCTAAACAAGAGATCAAGCACATAAATAGTTTGTGTAGCTGTGTTTCATTTGTATACAGATAAACTTCATAATGGACATCTATGCAGTTTATTTATTGACAGTGTTAATGAAATTATCCAAGATTGTTATAAGTTCACTGCGTGAATAAATATTATAGAATTTATTAATCAGCAATTACTCTATTTCTCTAATAAAAGTTCAAGACCTATATGCTAATTCCAATGACAAACCGATCATGTCGTATTTGAAGTATGACTTTAATTGCATTATTGGTTTTAAATATTATAAATATTCTGAATTGTACATAAATATGTATAATGGTTGACATAAAAAATGTGTACATCACGAGTGTTACCATATTACTAATAAACATTTTCCAAAATTGTCATATGATGTATTTATTTTACTTAAATGGCACCTCGTACAATAGCAAAACGGTTATTTACTTTAATCATGTATGAACCTTACGCGCACCGTTTTTTTTAAACAAAAATTATACAGAATTTTATAAGTAATGGTTAAAAATATCACAATTTAAAGAATTTGTCTTCTCGTTATTTGTAGTTTGAAATTGTTCTATATTGTTCTATATTGAATTATGATTACCTTGGATATGAGTCTCGATATACCAGTGTAGGAACAAATAGGAAATAAATATAAGTAGAGATCGAAGGAAGAAATTCTTCATTAATTTTATCATCAGACTTTGGTTTAAATGCCCGCACTTTTACGATATTGTGCCTTAAAAATGCGTAAGTCTTCATTAATAGCCGCACCTAAAATAAAAGAAAGTTAAATTAGAGTCAATAATAAAAATATTTCATTTTACATATAAATCATATAATATAGATTTAAATCGTAATTGCTATTGATGACGATAATTATTACTTCTGAAAAAAAATTATGTTTCCAGTTTTCACGAGCAAATCCTAATAGAAACTTTATTTAAAATTTTTAAACACTTTTTTAAATAAACAATTGAAAATTTAACCTAAATTATTTCATTAAGTTATCTATTCTTATAGATATTGGGAACTTGCCTGAAGGCAAAGTGCTCCTTACACCTAGTTAAATTTGATCTTGCGACATGTACTGAATTAAAAGTAGTGAAACTGTTCGATATTTTGCAAGATTGTGCAACTTTTAATTTCATATTAGTGAAAACGTGGATGCATGTCTACGTAATTAAAAATGAATCGAGTCCAAGTATGCTTATTTATCTATCGTAATTAATCATGCAATGATTTCATGTTTTAAATAATTTCGCGGAAAAACCTATTTTTTGCCGAGAAATATTCACCTGAATAGTGAAACTAAGAAGTTTCACATAATTTAACAAATTGTCTCATGCTATTTTATTTCAAACAGCATTTTCAAGTATTGCATTTATATATCATTTTATTCAAGTAAACTAGGTGTAAGTGGATATGTTCCATTAGGAAAAGTCGATAATATATTAATATATATTAATTTATAAGCGAATTTCAATGTGTGACAACTATTGAAAATTATTTAACATTGTGCAAATTATTAAACATGCTTTTTCAACAAATTATAAATTCAACTTCCCGTACCGTAACGAAGTGTTCGAGGAATATTGCATGTTTTCGACTAGATTATTATAAATATTGTAACGTTGTCTACTATTTATAAGAATTATATAAACTGAATTGCAAAGATGAAATTATTTGCAATTAAAGTATATTAGAACTTCAGTCAGAACTAAATAAAATCTGAATTATTTTCGATATACAGAAATTTGATAAAATTAATCGCCAAGGTAAAAAAATGAGGATGTACTGCAAAAGATTTACTGGATATCATTGTGAAGAAAAAAAGATTCTGGATACAATACCAAATGATAAAGGACAATTTCTGTACTACATCATTAAAGGTGAAATGGAAAAATCTGAAATAAATTCACATGAAGTGAAGGCATAGAAACAGAAGTTTGATAAATAAAAGTAGTCTGTAAAGAAGAGACACGTCATTTAATTTTTCTCAACACGAACCAAAAAAAATAATTCAATAATATAGTTAAAAAGTAATTACCTGTTCCATCAAAACGACTAGTGATGATGCTGGTGGTAAATCAGCTTTAAGTAGAGCCCAAACTGGTAAATATATGAAAGAAGCTTGGTACAGAAGAAGCCAACTGAAGTAGAAATTATCCCAACATTTCATTTGGAGGGCTGTAAAACAATAAAAGTTAAAAAACAGCATTTTCGGTTGATATAACTAAAATTACAACTAGTAGTGCGTGGCATCGTGCCTTAAGGAAAATTGCTGGAACTTTTCGTACTAGAATTATATATAGTTAGCACAATTGTTTTATACATTTTCAAATAGATAATTATAATTACTATATATTTTATATATCTACATATATATAAAAATAAGTCGGGTTTTCCTTCCTGACGATATAACTCCAGAACGCACGAACCGATTTCCACAATTTTGCATTCGTTGGAAAGGTCTCGGGCTCCGCAAGGTTTATAGCTAAGAAAATTAGTTGTGCATGGCATCGTGCCTTAATGCAAGCTGTTGGAAATTCACGCACCGTAATTAAAAATTCGAGTAATGACATTAGTGAGAATTATCAGAATTATGCTTGGTTAAGTCAACGAGCAATTTTTGCCGCAAAGAATAATGATGTACACGCCTTGAATTTCACCATTCAATAAAAAATTGCTGGCGATTTGGTGACATACCAATGATTCCGACTGCTCTTCCGTTTGACTTCAAACGATTGCAATTTCTAGTTCTCTTTGCGTTGGCAATAACAAATTGCTTAGTGTTTGCGGGATAAATTTCAAATAGATTATTTAGAAAATCATTGTTTTTCACATGGGCAAACCAAAAAACAAAAAATGTGGTTTACCAAAGAATACTTCAATGAAACGAATAATTTGCGGATTCACCTTCATTTACTTAGAGAAGTTCAACTAAAAAACACTTCATTTCTGTAATCGAAATAAATTCATTACTGGTTATGTAATAAAACCAAATTTTTCCTTTTCAAATATAAAACACAAAATTTCTTCATCTTTCTCACGAAACCATCTGGTGGCGAAACGGAGTTCGTCGGGATTGCTAGTCGTTCATAAAATATACATTGAGGATCTTATCGCTCAAAGCACTTGAGAAAGTTTACATTGGCAGGAGGTGAATGAATGAATCCATCTAAGGATATATTTCTTACGATTATAATAACGCATTTGAAATATAAACATTATGAAACTGAATTGTAAATTTAAAATTCGTGATTTGAAAGTTTTATACAACTTTGTATTGTATGAAAATACAACTGAACAATAATTTTTTTAAAAATTTAAAATTGTTTTTTCGGAAAATTTTGAAATTTGCTTGAACCATATAAGTAAAATTCAAAAATTAAATATCTTGGTAAGGAACCCAACAAAATTGTAGTAAAAAAAATCAGTACTCATTTTTAAAAACTTCATTAAATATCGGATAATTTGATGTGCATACGTCTAATGTCCATTTTTGACCACATATACCACATATCTCTTTGGTTCAGATACCTTTGAACGGTAAATATATGCAAAAATTTTCATTTTCGATTTTTTGCGATTACTATAACTTGCCCTACGGGAAGAAAAATACCATGTAGATATTACCATAAGAAAGATGTAATAAAAATACTCCAAAGGTTAATAGATCGAATAGCTAATTTTACCAATGCTTTTGTTATCGCAACTATTTAAGTTTTACTAAATCTTCATTTGTTTGCTATACACAATACACAATAGGCAAATAAATATGGCCAAATGTTAGTTACAAATTACTTAATCTATATTATCAAAATTTTAATGATAAAAATTAGAAGATGCTTGATATAATAATACCAGTTAATTGCCAAAATTACTCGATTGTAGCTATAAATAATCAGAATTATCGCAGTAGTTATAAATAATGAATGTTATTGATTATAAACTTAAATTATAGCGGTAGTTTTTCTTCTTTCTTAAGTATTAAAATCTAGTTACTAATTAACCAGTTAATTAATCATATGAATACTTTTGATGTCTGTTGTGCCAAAACTGCAGTTATTCCCTAAAACATATAGGGGAAAGTCCCCTAGTGGCGGACACCTAAGGTTATTTATAAATAAATCAAAGAATATTTTACAAAATGTTTATTAAATTATGATTTATGTTAGATAACAAAGTTAGAAATTAAACTAAATTAGCAAAACCGCAATCTTTGCTAAAAAATAATTAATACTATCAATCAAACTTTGGTAACAAAAATATGATTTTAAACAGTGGCACCTAGTACCGGACATTTCAAAATAACCTGCACTGATCACATATGTAGCCATCTCCACACTCTGGAAAGTCTGCACATTTGTGTTTGACGAATATTCTCAGATATTGCAAAAAAATCACTAATTATCCACCCTTTGGGTTGGGCCACACCGATGCTCTCAGCTGGAGCATTCATCATAAGATTTTGATTCTTTGACTAGGAAATACGAAAAATGGGGGTATGTAATGACCGTTTGCACTCATACAGAACAAAATTAAATATTTAAAATAAATTACGTCAATTCTCACAAGAATTTCAATATGTTTATTGTCCGGCGCTTAGGGACGACTTAGTGTCCGGTGCTAAGGGACAGACAATTTCGTTCCTATGGTGGTACCTACTAAAATTGTTTAAACTATCTAATAATATTCTACCATTTTACGGATAACAATCAAGTACTACTTTTATCATTGAATGCCACTCAAATATAAATGCATAAATACACTAGAATTACTTCCATTAATATTAGGCGACGCCGCGATTTTGCGCCTAAAACAACAGGTGGTTGCTTCCGCCGTGGCCGTGTGCGCCACAGGTGAGTCTTGGCGGGTGATTCTGCACCTGTGTGCACCCCGCACCCCTTTCACTTGTATTTTGATATAAAAAGATTTAAATAGTACGCGTTAAATAGAGCATCCGGTATTAGGTGCTGTCCAGCGTTACGGGACTTCCCCCTAATTATATTCTGTATAATCTTTTATAATTAACACGATAAAATAGATATGAATGTATAAATTATAATAAGGTGTAATTATTATAATACTTACAATTGGGTAGCATTTCTATCCTATTCATTGCCCAATGTTTGAAAAATTTATACATAATTATTGTGCACACTTCCATGCATGACCATATCAGTAAAGCAATGTGAAATTTGCCAAATCCGGTTGTAATTAAAGAAACACCTACATTAATACTGAAAAATAAATACATTAACTGTTAGTACTTGACCATGAGATGATAATTATTTTTAATAAATTAGATTTTATTAATATTTTAAAAAATTCAAATTGTGAGCCTGTAGTTGGCCCTGGTTGCGTCCAAAATATTTGTTCCAAGCAGTTGTATGAAGAATCAAAAATATTTCGATCAAATTCATCAAATAAATTGGACTAAATGTGATCTAGTATTAATATTATCTACTTACCTTCCATGGGCAACCAGATCGTATACCACAGTATTCAAAAACAATATAATTAGAATCACAGTAAATATATGGTATATTGTTCTGATGTGCTGAACTTCAAATAGATCAGTGAGTATTGAACTTCTAGGAATAAACATTTTTTCTGTTAATTGGCCATTGTTTTTGGATTTCCTAAAAGGATATAAAAATGATAATATTAAAAGTTGCAAGTGAACAAGAGCAACCTTATTTTATTTAGATCTTCACAAGGGCCAAAACTAAATTAAAGAAATTTAAGATTTCTAACGCGAAGCGAAGCATCATCTTACTCATTATTAACTTCCCGAAGGAGAAGTTAATGTTTTCATCAAAAAATCCGATTTGCTAATTTTATGTTCACTCGACGTTTCAAGCCATTCTGAATCGAATGAGACAAAATTTGGAACAAGTGTGTGTGTGTTGGTGCGTGAACAGATTTTTTGTCGCAAATCGACGTTTTCTCAAAAACGGCTGAACCAATTTCAAAAATCTAAAAGCCATTCGATGTATCTCAATGAGGACTATCGTTTGTCAGCTTTGCGCTACGATCGGCCGAACCGTTTCTTTGTAAATCGCAGAAAGGTGAAAAAATTTTCGTCCACGTTTTAGCCCGCAATTCTGAATCGATTTTGAAAATTCAAAAACTGTTCGAAAGATATTGGTTGGAAATCGTGCTGATTAGTTTTGGTAGAGGTCGGCCGGGCCGTTTTATGTAATAAAGTGTTAAAAAAAACTTTTAGACGACTCTTATGACTTTGTTTTGACGGTAGTTACCATAGTCTTAAAGATCATACTGAAATATAACGGGTTTACGACAAGCCGTTTAATTTTAAAAATTCTTCAAAGTTTGCAAAAATTAGCATGGTTTCATTGGCATTTGTCAAAAATAAACCTTCGATCGACGTTTTCTTAAAAACACCTGAACCGATTTCAGAAATTTAAAAGCCATTTGATTTATCTCAATGAGGACTATCGTTTGTCAGTTTTGTGAGACGATCTGCCAAACCGTTTCTTTGTAATTTGAAAAAAAGTGTTAAACTTTTCGTGCACATTCAAGCTCAAATTACAAAACCAATTTAAAAAATCAAAAACTGTTCGAAAGATGTTAGTTGAAAATGGTACTGATTAGTTTTAGGTGAAAATCTACCGAGCCTTTTCTTGTAATTAACGGTTGAAAAAAGTTTAAGTCGATTTTTATGGAACTGTTTTTATCGTATATATCATGGTCTTATAGAATACTAAAATATCACGGCCTTACGACAAGTAGTTCAACTATAAAAATTTATCAAAGTTTGAGAAAATGAGTAGTTTTTTTGACGTTTGTTTAAAATTAAAATTAGACGATTTACTTGGTATCATTAAA